CGCTTCTTTGTCTCCTATAATAATGTCCTTGTCCCTAATTATTTGCCTTAGCAGCTTATTTTCTTCTTTAAGAAAGCTTTCTTCTGTCATGATTATGTTGTCAATTGATTCATTCCTTTCTATTTCATGCTTACATTCAGGTTTTTTCAGGTCTCTCGATTGCTTCAAACAAGCTGGATGAAACACTTCACTGCACAGAGAAAAACGGTCCAGGTACACAAGTACACTTGAGTAGAATTTAATACCCACAAATATATTAATGAACTTTTGTACCATTACAATAGGTGAAATTTTTTTTCTGATATCGACTTCCAGTGGCAGGTTTACTATGCTCCTGGAACAGGCCATATTTCTTGTGCTTGATTAAATTTTATCAATGTGTTTAATACTCAGTATACAACAATCCACCTAACATTAATATATTTGTCCCTCAATCCTTGTTTCCTATGAGTGAAAGGAATAATTCTGCCATTATTACCTGTTTAATAACAACAGGTAACAGTTCACTTGATTTCTCTGTTTCGTCATCATTCGGCTAGTTTCGAATACCCACGATTACGCCACGAGCTGACTGCGCAACTCTTCTGCACTTCATTCAGTCTGTATCTGTACTAAGAATATGTACCTTTGGTGTTTGCGAACACTTATGCGTGCCTTTTTCTATTCTGGAACATTTGTGCTGTGCATGTAAGTTAAGTGATTGTGACTATTCCGAAAACATTTCTCCCAGTGACATTATCACTATGGAGCGACTAGCCCCAGGTGGAAAGTTGAAAAATAGAAGCAGCATAAGCAGTTCATCGACGACACTTAGAAACAGCAGGGTTTGGCGAAGTTTACGCAAAACTCTTCTTTCTTTCTTGGTGAGTAATATACCATTCCTTATTCTCCGTGCATGAAGAAATCTTTTTGGGCACAAACGTTTTTTAGTGATATGTTTTTCTCCTTCCGAAAATGAATCTAAGCCCTCTAGTTCCTTATGTTGGTTGATCATTTGCAATTAATTGTTACATCTGATATTATACAGAGAAGTGCACAATAAACGGCCAGTGCTGTAATTTCTGAATCATTTGAGATCGGATTTTGAAAATTGTTGGGTAGCAAGTATACCAAATTGCTCATTAATTGACAAACCAATTTTTGTTATATCACTTCCGTTTTCACCGGAAACGATCCTAACTTTTGATTTTCAAATAAGATACCCTGTATTTCATTTCATAATCGGTTAGGGATTATCATAACTAATTCAATGATACCAGATTTGATAGGAATATTTCAAACGATTACCAAGATATTCGCGTTCTAAGTTTCCATATGCTCAATGGGTGCGACTTCGCAATATCGGAACTTTTTTCTCTGTCCCACTCATTGGGCAAATGGAAACTTAGAACGCGAATATCTTCGTAGTTGTTTGAATTAACCCTATCAAACCCGGTATCGTTGAATTTGTCATAGTAATCTCTAACCGATTATGAAATAAAATACAGGATGTCCCATTGAAAAATCAAAAGTTAGGGTTGTTTCTGGTGAGACCGGAAGTGATAGAACAAAAACTGATTTGTCAATTCATGAACAATTTGGTATACTTGCTACCCACCAATTTTCGAAATCCGATCAGGAATGGTTCAGAAGATACAGCACTGGCCGTTTTTTGTGCACTTCTCTGTATGTCCGTTTCATTCGTGGTTCTTGCCATTTATTTTTCATTTGAAGAGGTTATATTTTGAAAATATCTCCTATTCTGGTTGTGACCTCTGAATATTTTCATCGAGTGTGCTCTTTGGTGTCGAAATTTCAGTAGGAAGTCACTTATTGTTAAGTAGTTTAAATTTTGTTGAAGATTAAAGAAATATATAATCTCAGAAAAATAAATAAATTGTTGATCTCAAGTTATTACCCAAACCGAGGAGTTTTTATGGTTATGATTCATAAAAGCCCAGCAATAAATTGGGAAATATCAAAATGAGAAGACTCTCTACTGTGAATTTTTGAAAAAAAATTTTATTCCTGATAGTAGGTACACGGGAAAAAAATTCAGGGAAACGGATCTTGATTTTTCTTATTCGGTGTCTCTGGATTTGAGTCAAAGTGAAGTTTTATAAAGAATGGCCTTACTTGGATGGGCTCACGGGACGTTCGCTACCTGTTAAGAGTTTATTCTTCCAATGAATCTCTTGAAATAGGATTATTTGTTTGAATTTTTAAGAAAATAATAGGAGAAATTTAGCACATTATATAGAGAAATTTTCATATTTCAGGGTGCTGATGGTAATGATGTACCTGATTAGAACTTGATGCCACTTGATCTGAATTCAAGAGGACCTAGTACCCCCGCGGCCCGCAGATACTCCATCAACGTCTGAAATATATTTGTATATGAGTCAGTTCGACAACTATTGTATATTGAGAATAATTATTTCGAGTTCATTTATTTATGTAGTTTGTACTGAAATTACAAATGACTAGAATATATTATATAATGTACCTATATTTTGTACAATATTTTTTCTCTTCTATAGAATCACCATCCCCAATTGTGTGATACCTTGAAAATATTTTCAGAGGTATGCACATTGAACATCCCCAATATTTCAATTGAATTGCACATCTGAGATAATTAAATTATGTTCCAGAGACGAGTAATTTATGATCCGAGGACAGCTTAATATTGTTTCTGGAATAATTGTATTCTTCAGTGGTAGTAATTAAAGGAAGTACCTAACATCAGTTAGATATATCTCAGAGAATATCACCTTTTTTTCTGTAACAGCATGTTTTTTCACCTGTGGCAACTATATAGTATTGAAAATCTATTAAACTATTGAATAACTATCATCGAAGTGTGAACCTACAACAGGTGAAGAAGTCTGTAAGATAATATAGCAATGTTTCAAAGGGAATTACTTAATGTTCAATGGTAATTAAACTGTCTAATCAATGTTATTCAACACTTCAATAATCCTGAGTAGATTTTAAATATATTCATCCATTAACGATCAATGAACTATATATAATTGAGTGTCTGTTGCAGGTATACCAATTCAGGTAAAATATTTTATCTACCACTATCATACTGTATATCTGTCCCATATAGTATTCAAGTTTTTAACTGTGACTATTAAATGTTTAATAACCATTATTAAAGTTTTTTCTCTGTGTGCATTTGGCGCATTTCACTTTGTTAACAACTTTTTTCATGCAATGTTTACATGTAGAATCACTTTTATCTGCGGAGTGAATTATTGCCGACGTCGTGCCTTCGGCCATCTTTTCATATACGAAAAGATCCAGTTTCAATTTCGGTAAAAATAATCAGTAGATTTAGTAGGACTGACAGTTGAATAAGAATACTCCGAGATGCCAATAAGAGTGCGGGGAAGGAGATGCATGAAATTATCACTTGTAATTCCCCTGGGGATTTCATTATTGCCTGAAATTTTTTGAGTACATGAAGCGACGAGGAATAATAATATTCCATAAAAATTCATGTACGAGATAAATTTTTCCCAATTAAATCATGTACGTAAATTTTCAAAAAAATTGCTGGTTACCATAGAAATAATGCCCAAATAAAGCATCCGATTAGTTGAGAATGACTGGTATGAAATTTTCTTGCCAGTATCGTGACTCCTGAGGCAGTATGATGCAAAATGATCATTACCAGACTATTTGACATTTTGCTGCCAAAATAAGTAGAATATTGTGGATTTATGGCTGGGGCAGGCAGGTGTTTACATTGAGTTCATTGTAAAAATATGTTCTCCTCATTATTGACAGATTGCTGACCACATCACTACTTTCTGGTGGTCAGTAATTTTCGCACTGAGCCGAATATATCCAGTTTCAATTTCGGAACAAATAATCAGAGAAGTACCTAAATCTTTCGAACCATTCCCATGAGGTGATTTGTTGAGATTCGTATTTTTTATGATTATTTTTCGCAATAAAATTGTGGAGGATGAGTTTGGTCGTTGATTGATATATTACGCTTATCAGTCAACAGTTTGGTCAGGGAGTTTTATTCTTGTTCACTACTAGCATGGCGTCAGCCATGTGATCATTTGTGTAGTGATTTAAGTTTTCAAGGACATTTTATCTTCCTCTCGAGGCCCCGAGGTTCTCGTTAATGATTCTAAATTCTAAGTTTTTCTACGAGCGATTGCGCCCACCAATCTGATAAAAAGGTTTGGGAATGGTTCGAAAGCTTCAGGCTCTCGAATAATCAGTATATTTTTAGTACTGACAGTTGAATAAGAATGAAGCCAGCACTCTTCCATAGCCCGGGCTGTGGCGAGGGTGCATGAAATTATCACATATAATCCCCCTAGGGAATTATTTGCCTGCAATTTTGCTTTAAAATTCATGTACGAGATAAATTCCCGCAATTAAATCATGCACTTGGGGAATTCGGTAAGAACATCTTATACCGGAATCATTTAAGAAAATTGAGTACATATTTATTCTCCCTATGCCCTAGTAAAAAAATTGCTGGTTACCACAGCAACGTCAAAATATAGCATCTGATTGGTTGAAAATGACTGGTATAAAATTAAAATTTTCTTGTCAGCATCGTGAGGAATTATGATAGCTTCCTACGCAAGATGATCATTACCAGACTATATTTGACATTTTCCTGCCAAATAAGTAGACATGTCAGTGACGTCATATGGCGGACATTGAAGAGCTGTTGGGGGATAAGGGTACATGTAACTTTCTTGCACATTTACCACTAAAATACAATACCTGGAGCATTTATTTATTGACATGTTTGTTAATTCATTCATCATGAATCCTGTGAGAGAAGTGAATGAGTCCAAAGAATAGTTCATTTGTCAATTTTAAATTACTGGATTTACTTGAGTTCAGCTCTAATATACCTCGTAATATATTTCAATAGATATTCATTTTGGAAGAAAATGTACACATTCTTCTTGTATAATATCTACAAGTACAACAAAATCACCAATGGGTCAGAAATAATAAAATCAAAATTCACACACAGCTTTGTTTGTCCCCCGATCAGCTGATGAAACGCCGAGTGCGCCATGTTGTGACGTCAGCAGACATTGCTCTATTGGCTGGGTCAGGTCGAAAATCAAACCCCTCATTACTGCATAACCTTTATTATACAAATCAAACGACAAACGACCCCCCCTACTTCTTGTACCCGCAGGAGGCCCTGCGACCGCGCGCCCTCTCATACTTGCGCCCCTTCGAGCGCACCAGCGGCTTCGAGTGGCTGTGCGGCACACCTGGCGCGAGACCGAACGATTTCACGGACTCGCGGGCGTTACGCCTGCCCTGCAAAAGAACGGTGCGCGAGCCGGTGGGTGCCCTCAGCGCCAGCTGGTCGAACGTGATGATTTCGCCGCCTGCAAACGAAAGGAACATTTTCACAAACAGGTTTTCGATAGCTATTACAATAGTAATAGATCTAGTACATTCTAGCACTCTTCACATAACGTCATTACTATTGTGAAATTCATAGCGAATCTATTTCCATTCGATTCAACTCGATAAATAGAAGAACAGCATATAAGAACACATTGAATTCGCGGTGGCCAAGGTCATCCATCATTTGACGTCTGATGTTGCGATGACATGAAAACTACGTGAAAACATGTCTAACTCACAATCTAAGCCAGAGTTCGGAATGTTTTCCCGTAGTTTTCATGTCATTGCAACGTCAGATGATGACCTTGACTACCGCCAAAAGGTGGCGCTCGAGATGACGGCCGACGGAGTGAATAAGAGGTTTTGAGCTTCTGACGTCACAAGCACGATTGACATTACTAGACCGCTATAAGTCATATCCCAGCAAACCGAAAATCTTGTTCAAATTCCTCGCCTATAAACGTTTCTGCTCAATGCGCAGGAATTCCCAAACTGTCGTTTATGACATATCGAGTCATGCGCGTCATGTCTCTTGGTGTTTGATATGGTATTTGCAAACATAAGTAAGAGTAAGATATAATGACAGGTCCATAATGCGCACGCTCCATATAGAACCAAGGTCGATCTTATGAATGAATGAGCTTTGATCTTATGGAATTAGCGATCTAGTTAATGATTTATGTCGATGGTTTTAGTGGATTCATGGAAATTTAAACTAATGCGTGATCATTAACCACTTTGCTACTGAAAATAGTGGAGATGAGATGTTCTAAGCGCATGCGCATAAATATATATTTATTCCATCATCTCATTTTTAAATCTATTACTACTTTTCAAGCATTAGGCAGTTAGTGAAACTTCCAGAATAACAGGATGATTCGGTCAAAAGACAATTCAATTACAAGTGATGTATAATCTTTGTTTGCCAACCAGACGCCATCTTGCCAGCTAAAATGTCACGTGGTTTGGATTGCCTGATAGTGAGTTTGGCTACAAAGGTCTCATGTCAAATGCGAATAAAATCAACGCCACTGTCAAAATTATCATATTTTATTAGATCAAAAACTATTTTATTGGTAATCATTTAAAATAAGAGCAGACCTTTGGATATAATAATAATTTCAGCATGCCCTGTATGATATGGAGGCGATTTCTCCATGTAAATTGAATACATCAAGCCTATACAAACCACCACTAAAATATCAACTCTTAGTGAATTGAGAGCCCTTATTTACTCAAATTCAATTAGGGATATGTTTTGGATCATATTTAACACAAATTATTTTTAATCTTGAAAACTGATAGAAATAGGTATAGGGATTTATCAGAAAAAGAGTATTGTAATGAAAAGGCAATTCTAAAAATTAATTTAAAAAATGAAGTTGCTAGGACCTTTTGATAGAAACGGCAACGTCGCAATTTCGAAAATATTTTAGACCTACCATCGACCATGAGTTACCCTGTATAGGTGAGTACCTTAACTTGAAAGTACTTTGCTGGAAGGAATTTGAAATTGATTGTCATGAATATCTGCACTGTGATTCAATACAAAATGTGATTTCACCTACAATTTTGAATAATCCACCAACAGAAATCAAGCATCTATTTATGAAATGCAATGTTTCAATACCATGAATTTTCCAGGCAGGTAGTTATCAGTTTAGTTCTCTAACAGCATCTGTATTTTTTGCTGAAATGAAAAATTGCGGAATGAATTTCCGACGAATAAAAGCTTTCTGTCTAAATTGGCAACATTGTCAAGTCCATTGTGCAAATTTCTTGATTTATCATCAGATTGAGTTCATCAAAATAGTTTGGTGTACCATGATTCTGGTTACACCCAGTATTTGCAAAAGCTGAATAATTAAAATTATGGAAAATGGAAAGTACAGTGTATTGTCCTATTATTAGCGTTCTTGCCAAATTTGAAAACAAAATTTGAAAATTTAATATTACAGGGTGTTATTTCAATTTCATAACTAATTTTGTTAATTTGTTAATCTGGACATGGATTTTTTCTGACTAGTATGTTCACTTTCTGAAAGGAGAGCATGAATACCAAATATAAAAAAATATACAAGGTGATCCACGGTGGATGGCCAATTAGAAGTATCTGGAGAACATAAATACAGAACATTCTGGAAATTGGGATGCTTTGATAATTGAACATTCTCTATTGGTCTAAAATATTTTCATCGGTACAATGTTGCCACTTCTGTCAGAAACAACTAGCAACTTTGTTATTTCAAATGGAACACCCTGTATTTTATTGCATATTTGGATTCTTCCTGAAGAGCTGATTTCATCAATGCATCACACTTGGGGTCTAGCAGGAATGACTACAGAGATATAGGGTGTTCAAAATTGAGATTTTTCGATTTTAGGATTTTTTTTTGTTGAAACTATTCATTATCGATCAAAACGGCTTACATGTCCCTATATTAACTTTTGATTCACTATTTACTGGAATTTAATTGGTAAAAACACAGTGTTTCAAGATTCAGTATTCTGATCACCCTGTATCTGTTCCAATTAAATATCAGTAAATAGTTGATCGAAAGTTGAGATAGGGACATGTGAACAGTTTTGATCGATAATGAATAATTTCAACAAAAAAAATCCTAGAATCGAAAAATCTCAATTTTGAACACCCTATATCTCTGTAGTCATTCCTGCTAGACCCCAAGTGTGATGCATTGATGAAATCAGCTCTTCAGGAAGAATACAAATATGCAATAAAATACAGGGTGTTCCATTTGAAATAACAAAGTTGCTAGTTGTTTCTGATAAAAGTGGCAACACTGTATTGATGAAAATATTTTAGATGGATAGAGAATGTTCAATAAATCATCAAAGCATCCCAATTTTTAGAATGTTCTGTTTTTTCTTTCTCCAGATACTTCTAATAGGCCATCCACCATGGCTCACCCTGTATACTGGGTGGTGTGTTGGTTATGATTTGGTGCAAACATTCAGAAGAAAAATAATTTCAAATGGTTCAAAATAAGTCACCCAAGAACAATCTGAAGAAAATACCAAGAATGACATTTTTATGTATTGAAAAATATACAGTGTGACCCACTTCTAATGGAACCACCCCTGTATCTTACGTAATCGTTGGGTAAGGATCCTGAAATTTGCTGGAGCGAGAGATATACCAAAAATGCACTCTATGACCAAGTGGGGCCATCTTCAGTGATATACACTGCTCGCCAACAGCCATGAAACTACCCCAATTTCTGGAAAATGATATTAGGAGTCAAATTTTTTCCTGGAAAATTTTCAGTTCGGAAAAATGAAATTTTGTCGCATTTTTTATGGAATCACCACTGTATCTCACGTTATTATTGAGGTAGGGTTCTGAAATTTGCCGGAGGAAGAGAAATTCCAAAGATAAAGTCAATTACGTGAGATACGGGAGTGCTTCCATAAAAAATGCGACAAAAATTCATTTTTCCGAACTGAGAATTTTCCAGGAAAAATTTGAATAGTAAGTAAATTGGGCGTCCTGATTCCAAATCTGAAGTGATTTTCGACCTATTTTGACTCCTAATATCATTTTCCGGAAATTGGGGTAGTTTCATGGCTGTTGGTGAGCAGTGTATATCACTGAAGATGACCCCACTTGGTCATAGAGTGCATTTTTGGTATATCTCTCGCTCCAGCAAATTTCAGGATCCTTACCCAATGATTACCTAAGATACAGGGGTGGTTCCATTAGAAGTGGGTCACACTGTACATGTAATGTGCAACACTACACTTTTGTGTCATTTTCAATCAAATTGACAAGGAAATTATCAATGGTTCTCAAAATGAATCTAGTGTTAAACACTCTGAATATCTCAACAATATCTCTGAAAAAACAAATACCTGTTTTGGTCCTACTCTGATTCCCAATAATTATTCCAAAATTCAAAAGGACATTCTGAAATATGTCCTGATAATATCTTCAAATCCTGTGAATTTTTGTTGTGTTTAGGATCAGAATATTTCAATTATTTTAAAAATCCAATTCAGGTATTGAGTTACATTGATAAAAGTGCATAGTAGTGAATAAAACTCATCAATATATCACAACTCTCCTTATCCTGAGTTTGGCACATACTGTAGAGATGTAAAACATATTGAAACATCAATTCTAAACTGCAAAATGCATATTGAAAAAAAAAAAATTGAGCCTAAATTACCCATAACAATGTTCTTCAAGAAATAAGGAAGTCATTGTTAAAATATCCAACAGAAAACAACTATTTTCAGTATTTTCCTGGCTAATACCACATAATATTGAATAATATCTGTAATATATTGGAAAAACAAATTGAATATAATAAAAAAAGTGAAATAACTATTATGCAAATATTCAACAGAAAACAACTTCAATGGCAAATACCACAAAATATTGAATCATTTCAGTTGTATAAAAAAATAATATACCTATCAAATTCTGAGAAAATATAGTCTCAATATCATTTAATGAAAGATAGTTATTTAGATTTCAACAATAGTTATTGAACAATTATTTTCAAAAAGATTTTTCAAATATGACATAAATAAACAGTCTGTATCAAACTTTTTTTCAACCAAGGGGTTTTTTGGGAAATGTGTAACAGTGATGATATATCTTATATAAAAGATTAACTATCAATATCAGAATAGATAGATTAACTATCAATATCAGAATATCCCACAGATGTTATAAAATACAAACCATCAACTTCCTATAATTTTCACACAACATAGCTATGAAATTCCCATAACAATGTTGAAAAACAAGTTGAAAAATCATGACCACCCACCTGCTTTCAAGATCCTAGACCTGGCAGTTTCAGTCACACGTAGTGCACAAATGGAAAGTTTGGGCACTTCAAAGATCCTCGCATCGTCAGTCACAGTCCCGACAATGACGGCAGTCAGGCCTTCGCGGCCGGGCGTCTTCATGAGACGAACGACTCTGGACAGAGAAATTGGGGGCCTGTTGATCCTGCTCATGAAGAGCCTTCTCAGGACGATTTGGTTGAATTTGGCACCAGTACGACGTGCCAAGTATCGGTAGAGCTACAATTGGAACTGGTATTAGAGCTTTGCGTTGGGATTAAATCGTTTTTGAGCATACCTTCACCAGAAGACGTAAATATACATCTTGACTTTTTGGTTCTGTTCTCCTAACCTTACGGTCGTATTTGTGATTGATGTCGATACCCTGGAAAATATGAACGATTAAATGTAGGCCAGGCCATTTTCAGACTAATGTGTAAGCGATATGATTTCAAATCATCGGGATGACCTGAATTATTTCCAATTTCTTTCAGATATTTTCAAATTGGTAACCCACCATTTTTGTAAATACTTGGAGAAAGGCAGCGTTGCCAAATACCAAAACTGAGAACGGCGAGAACCGTGAAGAAATGTCAAAATAGCACCACTACCACAGAACACAAATCTACAGATACATTCACAGAACAAACGAGCAAGATTGATAAACTAGACACTTGACTCGTCGTTACTACTACATTTCAGGATTTAGATTACTAAATAAAAGCAATCAGCTGTTATTTTTCAATAATTGCCAATTATTTTTCCGAAAAGGTTATCAACAACTACTGTGGAAAACAATTTTCGAAAGATTACTAACGAAACTATAATAGAGTGAAATACATGGTATGTAATGTGCTACACTTTTCATGCAAAGGGATGGACCTTTATCATCTATCGTTTGTCATTGGCGTCTCGATGTAGGATTAGTAGGAATAGGAATGTAGAGGGTAGTTGGCTTCATTCTGGCCATATTCTGAATTCAACTGACACTACTGAATATGCTGATTCTCATTCCAAAATCACAAAAATCAAACATTAAAGTCTTGACTTATCAATAATAAATTATTAATATCATATATACTATCAGAAAATGCCTGTTATCGAAATAACTGACGCTCAGAATAATATTAAATTTCACCAGCTGATCTACTGCTGCTGATTACTCATGAAAAACATAAAAACAACATCTTGAATCACTATCGGCTACATTCTTATTAACTGCCACTGGACTAGTGTTTACTGCCAGCAGAACAGAATGAAGCCGAAACCAGTTAAAAACGTATGTCTTTTTAAGATCATCTTTCAGTTTTGACAGTCTGACGTCTGACAGTCATCTGATCAACAAGGAAAGTGTAACAAAATAAAAGAGTAATAAAATAATAGTCTAAAGTAATTCGAATAATTCGAAAATTCACAACGTTTCCATGCTATTATAAATATCTGGAAGAAGAAATTTCAATAGACGTCAAACATGATAAAATTATTTTCGTTGAAACAACAAAAGAAAGATGGTGAACCATCTCCAAGGCCTGGCAATCAGAAAAAGGCATCGGCTGCACAGTTGAGAATAACAAAAGGTCTGTAAACTACCACAATGTATGCAAATCTACGATTCTTGTTTTTAGATATTAATGAACTGAACCTGCCAAAAACCTGCACTACAGAATTCCCAGACCCTGATGATCTCCTTACATTCAAATTAATCATTTGTCCTGATGAGGTAGGTAATAATAACTATGTAGGTAAATGAATAATAATTTGTTCATATGGTCAAAGAAATGATCCAAGATCTTTTACAATCAATTGATGAAAGTTTACAAAGGAAATTGAACAAACAATTTGACAATTATTTAGATGAAATGAACCCCTAGAGTTTCTTGATAAAGATTCCTTTAGTTTCTGTTTGGATGCATTGAAATGTAATGCCCTTTTCTAATATTGCTGTTACCGTTTTGCAGACTGGTTTTCTGAACTTGAAATTGGTCAATAAAACCTCACCAAGCATCTTTGAATAAAAATACAATAATGGTGCAGACTATTGAAATAATTAAGTCATCTCATTTCTAAGTATTGACTGAAATGGTTCATTTTTTAGGGATTCTACAGAACTGGCAGGTTCATCTTCAGCTTCAAAGTGGGCCCAAACTACCCACATGAACCACCAAAGGTAATGATAAATGCTTCTAAAATTATATTAATATTGAAAAAAAAAAAACATAACAGGGTGTCTTCTTATATTTCCACTCCTTTCTACAACTTTCATATTATTTGAAGTTTTTTTTTCCATCTTGTATAGTTGTAGCTGTAGGTAGAGGTAAAAATATGAGGATACATCTTGTATATTATGAAGGAATACATCAACATTTTATTTTTACTTTACTAAGTACATATAATATTTTTTATCATAATACATCATATTATTCATCAGATTCCAGAGATCATCACTTCTCAATTTCAAAGGATTTTAATTTTGTTTGCTCTCTTTTTGAATGTTCAACAGATATTATTCAATATTTGACATGGCAAATAGCCAGGAAAGTAGTTTGTTATGTGCAATTTCATATTTTCATCTATAATTCAATAGATATAATTCAATTATTCCAGATTTTTTGGGATTTTCTCTTTGTTTCTATGAAATGAAAATATGAATATTATTTCAATATACCTCTAGTAAGGAGAAATCAGATGATTTGTCCCAAAATGTCACTGCAAAAAGTTTGGAGAAGAGAAATAAAGGTATATAGAAAAAATATAAAATTTTCAGTTTTTTCAATACAAATTTCCACTGACAAGCTAGTGAATCTTTCTTTTAGGCTCTCTGAAAGGGAAAATTCTTTAAAAGCATTGACATTTTGGGGCAAATCATCTGATTTGTCCATACTACAGGTATATTGAAATAATATTCATATTTGAATAAACCAAGAAAGAATTGATATTTCTAGAGAATGCAAATTCTCAATGTATTTCTTCAAATGTATACACATTTTCTCATTTTTTTATATTCCTTTTCAATACATATAGTATGTTCAGTCAATTTTGCTCATTTCTTCATGGGGACTTTAATGAAATGATAATTGATGAACATTCTTAAGAATAGTGTGGATATACATAGGGATCAACTGATGACCTATACCAATTTATATCAGTATAGAGGCCTCTAATTGATTACAAAATCAATTGTTTCTGGTGGAGTAGATTGACCATATTCCACTTGGAAGGGATCAGGCATTTTGTTCTACTTGTTGCCAACAGCTACTGTCAAATTGCATGTCATTTGTCAAATGTACTGTCTCTATTGCAAATGCCAATGAGATAATAATAAGTTTGAGCAAAGGGCTCAGAAGTTTGCTCTCATTCAAAATGATTTACCATTCATTTGTTTCAATCCATAGGTGACTGAATTTGAGATCACACCGCCAAAATGGTCGGTTGTAGAACTATATGAAAGTATACATTGTTTTGAAATGGTCATTTTGCTTCTGTTTATTATTTTGATTTTTTGGTAGTGATCTAGTGATTTCAGCAAAACAAATTCAAATTCGACTCTTGTGAAGGGAGCTTCTCAGCAGATATTCATTCAAAAAGTATGTTCCCCTACTTCAATACGTGAGCTTCACATTAACAATTTGAGGTTATGTCAGTTTGCATTTCATTCCCATTCAGTAGTAAAATCAAATATTGCATATTAAGTGGAGTGAATAAGATGTTGAGTGGGTATTTCAGATGTATATTGTAGTTGATTCATCTACATGTGTTTATGAAAAAGAAAAAGTCCTCAGAGCTGGATGTATGTGAGAATTATTGATCTACCTAGTAGGAAAAATCGAACATAATGTGCTTTGCTTTTGAGTAAGGATTTCATTATTTCAAATTCCTTGTAACTTTCCACTTTTGGGAAAAAAGCAACTGTGAATGCAATCTTGATATAGGGAGAAAATCTTTCAAATATAAACTGATAATTGAAATTATCATTTCTGAGAAATGCAGTGAGTAAATTTTCATGAATTACATGTGAAACCAAGCAATAATGATTCGAGTTAGTCTACTGAACAATTCAAACTCGAAAAAAATATCACAATGACCACTAAACTTTCCTTACAATGCATGGCACCTTGAATAAGTTGAATAAAAACAAGTATTCAATGTACTTTCCATTAGTTACTCGAATATCCGCAAGAGGGCGTTTATTTTGAATCGCCTCCTTATCGGAAATAGAAAATAGACAGTGGCGCCGATGTTATTCAAATTCTGAAAAATATGGTCAAATAAGTAAACTGGTTTCTTCAGAAGGTATTACTTTTCAGTTTTCATAATTTTTTGTTTCGTTTGCTCCACTTCCATAGTAAGGGAAGTTTATGGTTCCACTTGCAATTTTCAAGAAAAAAAAAATGGAAATTGTCTGATTTTTCCTAGGATTTTTCAAGCGGTGCGACCTCTCGGCGACTACGAAATCTAAATCGATGTGATATATCTGAAGGTACTAAAAAAAATTCAATAACGAGACCAAGTTTGTCAAAATTCCGAAAGTCCGTATGACAGGGGCCAGTTTTTCATCCATTTTCTGACTGAGAATTTGTATTCAGACTTTACTGCACCATATATTACAGAAACAGAAACAAAAAATAATGAAAACTGAAAAGTAATACCTTCTGAAGAAACCAGTTCACTTATTTGACCATATTTTTCAGAATTTGAATGAAATCGGCGCCACCGTCTATTTTCTATTTCTATTCCATATAAGAAGGCGATTCAAAATAAAGGATACGCCCTCTTGCGGATATTCAAGTAACTAATGGAAAGTACATTGAGTGCTTGTTTATATTCAACTTATTCAAGGTGCCATGCATTGTATAGAAAGTGTAGTGGTCATTGTGATATTTTTTCGAGTTTGAATTCTTCAGTAGACTAACTTGAATCATTATTGCTTGGTTTCACATGTAATTCATGAAAATTTACTCACTGCATTTCTCAGAAATGATAATTTCAATTATTAGTGTATATTTGAAAGATTTCCTCCCTCTATCAAGATTGCATTCAGTTGCATTTTTTTTATTGAAAGTGATTGTACTATTCATTCTGGAATCTGTTTGCCTGATAAAATAACACAAGTTTAAATTCTCTACAACTCCCATCCATCATAACACGCGCAACAGGAATCTCAGTTCTAAAATTCCTCTACCCACAAAAGAGTTTATTAAAGATTCCATATACTATAATGGTGGGAAAATGTACAACCACTTGCCAGTTGATATAAGGTCAGCAAGTCCGAATGACTGTCAATTCAGGAAGAAAGTCAAACAGTTCCTCTCTGATAGACCCTATTACAGTTTACAGGAATATTATAGTAATACTTTTGAGTTGTGCTATTTTAGTATTTTAATGTGATATTTATTCTGGACTATATTGTCTCGTATTTTTATGTTCTTATATTTTAACCTTTCTTTACAATAGGTGGCGTGCACGATGACCGACCCTGGAGGCAAAATATTGAAACACAACCTCACTCTTCTGTGAATTATTGAAACACAACCTCACTTTTTTATTTGTTAACAGAGGATTCAAAAGGTTGAAATAGTTTTTCACAATATTTTGGCATACGAATTGTGTTTCTTGCGTTATTCATTAATTCAAGCATGCCTTCGCATTGTGCTGTTGTACAATGTACAAAAAATGCAGCAAGATACTAGGGAATATGATTTTTCAGGTAAATAGTAATCTCAGATAGTTATCATTATGAAATGTTGTCATTCCTTAATAAAATTCCTTCTGCCTTCTGCAATCAATCAATCAATCAATCAAATCTTTATTCCTTTAGACAATAATACATTGTGTCGGAAACGTCAAAATTTTTGAAAAATACATAAAACACACAATACATAGATATACAGAAACGAAATACAGTACAAAATAAAATAAAATATCACTGTACCGGACAATCCAAGAAATCTTGCACAGTATAAAAAGAATGTTGCACCAAAAATGTTTTGAGGCGCGTTTTGAAAACTTTAAGTGTTAAGCTTGATTTAATATTCTCAGATAAATGATTGAAAATACGTGGTCCTATGAAATTAGGGGCATTTTGGGCTACTTTGTATTTGCCACTTCTGCAATACAAGCTAATTCTGCTAATAGATTGAAAATGTCTGCAACACACACGATCATCAGCATGTCAGACCAGTCCTCCCGATTGATTGCATGAATCCAATCTTCTTGCATTATTCTAGAAATTTCAGGTATATTTCTATCAGCTCCTATTGCAGAAGGAGTTCCGATGAGAAATCAGAGAAATAACCAAATTTCAAAAATGAAAACTATATGTGAGTGACTATAGTAGGTACTTACTTTTAAATCATAATGTACCATCCGGATTCCTTCATCTTCCGCTGCAGTTTTTGTGCATTTTACAACAGCACAATGTGATGGCATGAGCGAATTGATGAATAGCGGGAAAATACGATTCATATGCCAAAATAATTGTGGAAAACTATTTCGATCACTTGTAAACGAATAAGAAAAGTGACGTTGTGTTTCAATGTTTTGCCTTCAGCGTCGGTCATCTGACAGTTCTTGCACGCAACCCATAATATATGACGCTAGCATTGTCAACAAGGTTTTTCTTCAGACAATAAAGCATATTATCATTATTATTATCTAGTGACTCTAATATTCACTAATACTTTAATATGTACCGGGTGGACAACAAAGAACGGCTGTCATATCTATCATTCTTCCAACATTGATAGTTATTATGTTCCGTTGGCGAAAAGCTATCATGTTGCGGGTTTATCGTTGGTCTGTTGAGATTTAGTTTCACTATTACATCGTGTAATGAAATGCATACCATTAGATTTATTCTATCTCAAACTTGTATCATTATTCGTTGCTGAGATATGGCCGACAGCCGTTCTCACCCGGTAGCGACTTTACTAAATATACTGTACGCTAGCACAAACCACGCCCACCGTAATATCTCATCTTCGAAGTACTTAGGCAAAACTCAGAGACTATTTATCCTTAACGAACTAACCTATCCCTGATTGTAATATTTTTGAGGAAGGAAAACCGAATGGAGTGTAGAAACACATTGATTAATAATATATTTCAAAAGTTGAGTTCTTCAACAAAATTGAATAAAATGAGACTGTTTATCCTAAAACGCACTAACCTATTTGACTTCAAATATTTTCTGAAAAAGGAAAACTAGAATGAAGTAAAAAAACATTGGTGAAAAAAAAAAGTTGCAAAAAAAAGTTCAAGTTCACAGCGATTCAAACCATGGACCTTCAGACTGAAAGTCGACAGCGCTAACCAGTGGACCATTTGGGTATGTGAATTTACTGCGTACAAGAGATTGACAACGAGAGAGCTTCAGTCGAATTCGTATCAAAATCATAAAAAGTGTATTCTTGCGTTGGAGCACAGTATATTTAGTGCGATGTGCTGACTCCGAGTACATCGGTAATGTTTGGAGATATGACGTATTATGGTGGGCGTGGTTTGTGCTAGCGTGCAGTATATTTAGTAAAATCGCCACCCGGTACTATTCTATCATGACGATCCAGGTGAAGTGCGAGACGCAAGTGTACCACCCCAACATCGACCAACAGGGCAACGTGTGCCTGAACATCCTGCGCGAAGACTGGAAACCCGTCCTCACCATCAACAGCATCGTCTACGGGCTGCAGTACCTCTTCCTCGAGCCCAATCCAGAAGATCCTCTCAATAAAGAGGCTGCGGAGGTGCTGACGAACAACCGCAGGCTCTTCGAACAGAACGTCCAGAAGGCCATCCGCGGAGGATACGTGGGCGGTATTTACTTTGACCGTTGTTTGAAGTGATAGGGAATGCGCGAAAATGTTGAAAATTGGACACGGAATGACGTTGGAATGATGGGAGGGGGGGTGTCTGCGGTTGTTATTTTTTAAGATACTGTTGTAGTTGAATCGTGATATGTCACCGCCGTTGGTTTTTCTGGATATTTAGTCACGTTCGCCATTAACCTCTCATTTTGACACTTTATTTTTTCAAGTTTTGCATTACTGATAACTGAACTGTCAAATGAAAGTCATCTGATATGACAGCCAGCTTCATTTACTGTCATTGGTTTCATGGAAGTTTGACAGGTTATACTGAGACAACCTTACTTTTATAATTTGTTAGGTCAGAAAGTTGAGCATTCTTACTATTTTCGAATAAACTTGATAATTGGGTTCCTTCTTCTGTCGAATCTGTTGACAATTCTTCATCAACAATAATTAAATATGGATCAGTGTTTAAAAATTGCAGACTGTTTGAACAGAGCGTCTAGAAGGCCATTCGCGGAGGATACGTGGGCGGTATTTACTTTGACCGTTGTTTGAAGTGATAGGGAATGCGCGAAAATGTTGAAAATTGGACACGGAATGACGTTGGAATGAAGGAGGGTTCTGCGGTTGTTATTTTTCAAGATACTGTTGTAGTTGAATCGTGATATGTCACCGCCGTTGGTTTTTCTGGATATTTAGTCACGTTCGCCATTAACCTCTCATTTTGACACTTTATTTTTTCAAGTTTTGCATTACTGATAACTGAACTGTCAAATGAAAGTCATCTGATATGACAGCCAGCTTCATTTACTGTCATTGGTTACATGGAAGTTTGACAGGTTATACTGAAACAACCTTGCTTTTATAATTTGTTAGGTCAGAAAGTTGAGCATTCTTACTATTTTCGAATAAACTTGATAATTGGGTTCCTTCTTCTGTCGAATCTGTTGACAATTCTTCATCAACAATAATCAAATATGGATCAGTGTTTAAAAATTGCACTGTTTGAACAGAGCGTCTAGAAGGCCATTTGCGGAGGATACCTGGGCGGTATTTACTTTGACCGTTGTTTGAAGTGATAGGGAATGCGCGAAAATGTTGAAAATTGGACACGGAATGACGTTGGAATGATGGGGGGGGGTCTGCGGTTGTTATTTTTTAAGATACTGTTGTAGTTGAATCATGATATGTCTCCGCCGTTGGTTTTTCTGGATATTCAGTCACGTTCGCCATTAACCTCTCAGTTTGACACTTTCAATTTTTTCAAGTTTTTCATTACTGATAACTGAACTGTCAAATGAAAGTCATCTAATATGACAACTAACTTCATTTACTGTCATTGGTTTCATGGAAATTTGACAGGTTATAATGAAACAACCTTACTTTTATAGTTTATGTCGGAAAGTTATGCATTCTTACTATTTTCGAATAAATTTGATAATTTTGTTACTTCTTCAGTCGAATCTGTCGTCAAATAAATATAAATTATTGTTCAATAACTGCAGGCTGTTTGAACGGAACGTCCAAAAGGCCATTCGCGGAGGATAAGTAGGCGATATTCACTTCGACCATTGTTTGAAGTGATAAAGAATGCGCGAAAATGATGAAAAATGGACACGAAATTACGTTGGAGGGTGAACGAATGAAGGGGAGTCTTTGGTTGTTATTTTTTAAGATAATGTTGTAGTTGAATCGTGATATGTCACCGCCGTTGGTTTTTCTGGATATTTAGTCACGTTCGCCATTAACCTCTCATTTTGACACTTTATTTTTTTAAGTTTTGTATTACTGATAACTGAACTGTCAAATGAAAGTCATCTGATATGACAGCCAGCTTCATTTACTGTCATTGGTTTCATGGAAATTTGACAGGTTATAATGAAACAACCTTACTTTTATAGTTTATGTCGGAAAGTTATGCATTCTTACTATTTTCGAATAAATTTGATAATTTTGTTACTTCTTCAGTCGAATCTGTCGTCAAATAAATATAAATTATTTTTCAATAACTGCAGGCTGTTTGAACGGGACGTCCATAAAGTCATTCGCAGAGGATAAGTAGGCGATGGTCACTTCGACCATTGTTTGAAGTGATGAACGCGCGAAAATAATGAAAAATGGACACGAAATTACGTTGGAGGGTGAACGAATGAAGGGAAGTCTTTGGTTGTTATTTTTCAAGATACTGTTGTAGTTGAATCGTGATATGTCACCGCCGTTGGTTTTTCTGGATATTTAGTCACGTTCGTCATTTTGACACCTAATTTTTTTAAGTTTAGCATTACTGATAACTGAACAGTCAAATAAAAGTCATCTGATATGACAGCCAGCTTCATTTACTGTCATTGGTTTCATGGAAGTTTGACAGGTTATACTGAAACAACCTTACTTTTATAGTTTATGTCGGAAAGTTATGCATTCTTACTATTTTCGAATAAATTTGATAATTTTGTTACTTCTTCAGTCGAATCTGTCGTCAAATAAATATAAATTATTGTTCAATAACTGCAGGCTGTTTGAACGGAACGTCCAAAAGGCCATTCGCGGAGGATAAGTAGGCGATATTCACTTCGACCATTGTTTGAAGTGATAAAGAATGCGCGAAAATGATGAAAAATGGACACGAAATTACGTTGGAGGGTGAACGAATGAAGGGAAGTCTTTGGTTGTTATTTTTTAAGATAATGTTGTAGTTGATTCGTGATATGTCACCGCCGTTGGTTTTTCTGGATATTTAGTCACGTTCGCCATTAACCTCTCATTTTGACACTTTATTTTTTTAAGTTTTGTATTACTGATAACTGAACTGTCAAATGAAATTCATCTGATATGACAGCCAGCTTCATTTACTGTCATTGGTTTCATGGAAGTTTGACAGGTTATATTGAAACAACCTTACTTTTATAGTTTGTTTAGGTCAGAAAGTTAAGCATACTTACTATTTTCGAATAAATTTGATAATTGGGTTACTCCTTCAGTCGAATCTGTTGGCGATTCTTCATCAACAATAATTAAATATGGATTAGTTTTTAAAAATTGCAGACTTTTGGAACATAACGTCTAGAAGGCCATTCGCGGAGGATACGTGGACGGTATTTACTTTGACCGTTGTTTGAAGTGATAGGGAATGCGCGAAAATAATGAAAAATAGACATGGAATGACGTTGGAGGGTGAACGAATGAAGGGAAGTCTTTGGTTGATATTTTTTAAGATAATGTTGTAGTTGATTCGTGACATGTCGCCGTTGGTTTTTCTGGAAATCAAAACACGTTCACCATTAATCCCATTTGGACACATCATTTTTCATAACCCAACTGTCAAATTAAGGTCATCTGATATGACAACCAACCATTTACTGCCATTTTTTTCTCGAAAGATTGATTAGTTTTACTGGAACAACCTTATACTTTTATTGTTTGTCGGAAAGTGTGGCATTCTTAGTGTTTTCAAATAAATTTGAGAATTGTCTAAGTCAAATCTGATGATAATTCTTATTGTTGACAAATTATAGATCATTGTCTAACAACTGCAGGTTGTTTGAACAGAACATCCAAAAGGCCATTTAAGAAGAATACGTGTTCGTTATTCACTTTGAACGTTGTTTCAAGCGATAAAAAAAAGTACGTAAAATGGCGTTGGACGATAAACAAATGAAGGGACAATACTTCTTCTCTATTTTTCAAGATTTGCCCCACTGATCACTGAACTGTCAAATGAAAGTCATTCAGTGTCAACCAACTATTTGTATTTACCTCCCAACAATTGATTAGGTGAAATTTTGACGAATAGCCAATCTTGAAGAAAACTACCTCTTTTTTTAGATGAAATCTGATAGTTTTGTAACTCTTCCAGTAAAATCTCTTGATAATTTTTCCAGAAGACCATCTGGGGAGAATAAGTCTACGTGAGTTTGACCGTTGTTATAAAAAAATGAACTCGAAATGACGATTGAACCGTTATTATGTTTTGTTGTAGTTGATTTGTGATAATATGTTGTCGTCGGTTTTTCTGGAAATCGAGTCACGTTCGCCAAAGGAATAATCCTATCAACTCCAAATGAGTATTGATAGTTTTGAGATGTCACCTTATGACCTTGAAATAGGCCAATGCGAGTTTTCTCTAGGTCAGCATTAGATGAAAGCAAGATAGAAAAAGAGGTTATCCGGTTTTAGTTTCATATGTTGGCATCACTAAGTCGAATAGCTGTCAGTAAATGGGTGTTTTCAAGGTCTCAAATAATGTTGAGATCATTAAATGTTTATGCCCAAGAAGGTTCCAACCTTTGGCACAGTTATCACACAACGGTTTTTTACCACTATTAAGCCGATTTAATGCCTTGAGTGTATCGCTGAATATGTCCAACTACAAGTTTTTATCTTCTCCAGAAAATGCTCAATCATTGTTCTGCAGAAACAACAAGTGTACACAATGATATGGTCCATTTTATAGTTCTACTGAACGATGTTCTAGGGATTCCCTTTCGTGCGCTCGAAAAGATGAAAAAAAAAACGTAGTTAAAAAAAATCAAGAAACTTGAAGCATTGGAGATAGTTTGAGGTACGTTCATCATCATTGCTTTTGGGCTTGTTTTATAGTTCCCTTTGTTACATTTCAACGCATTGAGCGATCCTTTTTTTGTGAATTTGATTATGTCGTTGCTTGATTCCCTGAAAACACGTGCTTATTGACAGTTGCTTGACTTACAGTGATGCCAACTTAGGAAACTCGAATCGCTTGCTCATGATGATGATAAGTTTTGGCTAACTTGACTGAATTTGCAGAAAACCAGCATGAGAAAAATATCATATTTTATTTACTTTATTTATAGATCCTGATGATAGTGAGCATTGTAACAAGAAATTTAAACAATGGAAGAACTACCTCTGATTTTTTTGAGAAAATGGGGCTGTTCTTTGTGGATATTTCTGGCGCCCAAAAATTTTCCATGCAAATGAAATACAATAATGTGTATTGGAATAAATACAAACTGTTACAAATCATAATTATAATTAGGAGTAATGGATTTTCGATTATTTAGTTATTGTAAATTCTCGCTTATTTATTTTCCTCTATGACAGATAACTTTCTTAATAAAAAATGTTTCAAAAACAAGTATTCCAATTATTATTGTTAGGTTCAGGCTGATACTCATCAGTTTCCGCCATATTATAGTGCGGTAAAATTTTACTTTCCACACTAGTGCGGGATAGTGAACTTTCAGAAACAAAATGCCTATGGGAATGAAATCAATAGAGGGTGTCCTTCAAAAGTCTTGACGCAATCTAAATTTCATATTCAAATTCCCTTCTTTCCATTTTGGCGTAGAAGTTTTACAGGTTCATTTACTGAAACAATCAATTTCTACGCTCATGGAATGATATTCATCATAATCATGATATGGGTTTCATTGCCCAATAAAGCTATATAATTCGCATTATGAATAATTACACATATAACAGAATCAATTCTGAATGAAACGGAGAATCTCTATTTTGAATTGTTAGAACGGTACGTTAGAAAAAATATATCTACACCAGGAACCTTATTAACACTTCTAGATATAGTAGATATGGGAGAATTACAATGATAGTAACATTTTCTAAGCTCATATGAGACGGATTCCAAACGACACTGCAGTACTCTAATTTGCACCTGATCAGTGTGATATAAATGGTTTTCAAGGAGTCAAAGGTTCTAAATTCCTTGCAGTTGCGTATCAAAAAACCCAAATTTTTTATTGGAGTTGATATCACAATCTGAAAGTATTTGGAAAACGTGAGTTTCTGATCAAACAGAACCCCTAGGTCCTTTGATTCCGTGATCCGCGTTAAACTTTCACCATCTAGTACATATATATAGTTGAGTTACTCGTAGGATTTTACGAGTGAATGTCATGGTTTTACATTTATTTGTATTTAAGTACAATTTATTACAATTGCACCAATTAGTCAACGAATTCAAGTCCTGTGAAACAGTCTGCCTCACTTTGTATTTTTCACGATATATTTTCATGTCATCTGCAAATAGCAGTATATGAGAAGCGATGCCATCGGCTATATGTCATTTATAAATAGTATAAATAATAATGGCCTAAGATTTGACCCTTGTGGGACACCCGTACTCGCTACCATCACATTCAACATAACTACGTCCGTCAGATAAATATGATTTCAGAAGCAACTGAATATCGGGTGATATGTCAAAGTTAGACAATTTCATTAGCAGTTGTTGATGTGATACACGATTCAAACGCCTTACAGAACATTTTTTTTATGTTCTGGTTCCCACGAGAAAGGATATCCTGTAATGTTCAGAGAACATCGTGAGAACCAAGAGAAATATGGTAGTAATTGGTGTTCTATTTAAATTTTTGGAGGTTATATGCCTCGGGGAACACCTCCCTTGGAAATGTGTTCCAGAGCCTCGATCGCTGTTCGTTGGATGAACAAGTCTTTGGAAAAAGATGTTCTGCAGGTCTCCAAAGTGACCACGAAGCGGTGCGAAGCCTCAACTCGACGGGTTAATCTCGCGGGGACTGCCAAGGAAGGAACAACTGTTGATATTTCAGAAAAGCCATCGTCCATGAAAATATCTATAAAATAGGGCCAGATCGCCAACTTTTCTACGACGTTCCAGAGAAGAGTGAGTGAGTTTGTGAGCGAGGCATCACCTACGAGACGAATTGCCCTTTTTTGGACAGAATCCAACAGTTTCAGGGTATGTTTTGGGTGCTGCACTCCAAATATGGAAACAGTATTCCAGGACAGGTCGGATCTGTGCCTTATAGAGCATAATCATCTGACTGGAAGTGAAATAGCTCCTGGCGCAAAACAGAACACCAAGTGTTTGGGATGCACTTTTAGCAATTGATCTCACGTGATTTTCCCAAGAAAGGTTATTGCTGATAGTAATACCAGGCATCGAAATGGATGTCTTCAAAGGTATGGTTACTCCTGACATGCTTATGTTTGGCACAGTGAGATCGGCTTTTCTAGAGAAAAGGCATGCTTGTGTTGTGTTTGCATTGAAATCTACCAAGATATTGGATCCCCATTCGAGAATTGTTGCCAAGTCCATATTTATGTTGTCAACATTTCTCCCTCGTTCGTTTCTGATTTGCCTGGCTGGTATTGGAGCCCTGGAAGATAAGGCGGTATGGAGGGTACTATCATCCGCGAAGCTGTGTACTGGACATGAAGTTGCTTCCAACAAATCCTTGATATGGAGTAGAAATAGTGTTGGTGCTGGAATTGATCGTTGCGGAACACCAGCATTCAGGATAAGAGAGTCAGATGAAACTCCGTCGACCACTACATATGGAGAGACCTGTTTGAGAGAAAACTAGCTAGCAGAGAACATCGCTAGGGAGGCAAACCATAAGATGGAAGCTTGGCGAGGAGTCCATGGTGCCAGACTCGATCGAATTCCTTGTAGATATCAAGTGCCACGGCTAAGGTTTCACAAAATTTTTCAATAGATTGCTGCCATGTATGTGAGACGTAAGCGAGCAGGTCACCAGTTGATCTCTGATGGCCATATTGCCTATCGTTGATAATACTAAAAAACTCATCGAGCCGTTTCACGAGTTATGAAGCAAAAACAATTTAAAAATTCTAACCTCAGAATCGTCTGGTTTCCGAACTAAACAACTGTACTGAGATATAAGTTTGCTTGTATTGAATTCTTTCAGTCTGAGGAATATGTGGTATGTTTTTGTAATGACCTTTTAGAGACTCCCTTACGCATGGTAGAATGAAAAATTGTTTAATATTTTATATTTGGAAATCTTAAAATCTAAATCATTATTCAAAGTTATGAAGAAGTAAACTTCAAACCCCCATATCAGAATAATTGTCCATTCTTTCCGCGATTTTATCTCGTTTACTAACACAATCATTGTCCATGATATACAATCTCAAAGGCTTCTTGCTCCATTCTGCTGCACTTGGAATTCCCACTCGCGAAGTACGGATAATTTTGAGGTTTTCCACTGAAAAATTTGGATCGTCCTCGAACCACAATTTTTCGTTCCTCATATCGAGGACATTGACTTTGTTGAAGGCGTTTTTGGTTATGTTCAATGCAATGCACAACTTGGAGGGTCCATTGCATAGGAGTGATGTTTTGGTTATCACAGTGCCACGTTTATTATTTTCCGCTGGAACATTCAGAAGAATACAAGTTCCAGCAAGATCAACTCCGGAAGGACCGAAATTCAACTTCAACATTAAACTTGACCACTTGCCATCATGGTATACATACAAGGTGGCATTGAAATAAGTGCAAATATTTCAAACAGGAAGCTCGAATGGCACTAATTAATCATTCCAGAGTTACGTCATTTGACAGGTTGCTGAGGGGCAAACATTGTATTTTGTCAAGATCTGTCAAATAAAACCAGAATTAGTGGGATCGTTTTCCTTGGAATCCGAGTAAGAACCAGAAAGAATTTCATAATTTTGTTTGGTGAAACTGTTATAATATTGTGGATTTGGCTGGGACGGCCAGGGCAATGCTCATCAAAGGTACCTAACCTAACAGATAGTTTGTGTGCCCCTCAAGAAACCATGTCAAAATCACGTGTTCTAGAATGATCAATAAAACAAATTAGCGATCATAATAAAATTTGAGGTTAGACCCCTTTTCCCACCCAAAGTTTTACACTGTAGCAAATCTGTTCAATCATTCAAATCGTTTTAAAGTATGGCGTACTGGATTTTTTCTAGTAGGTATTTTGTTTAATTTTTTGAATGAAATTTCTCGTTAATTAGAAGAATTAAAAAAATCTGATATCATGGGAATATTCCTTAGACTGTATCATATTGATGTGCTGAATATGTGCATTTATTTCAAAAACATCTTTTATATGGAGGAACAAAACCTGAAGCCGCATAATCACACACATTTTACCACTAAACAAACCAATGTTTTAACGACCCGATACGTGTTTTGCTAACTATGTTAGCATCTTCAGGAGAAGATTGTAAGTATCTTATTCCAGAATAATATGCTGCCTATGGGGGAGGATCTGGATAACATAAAGAGATACAGCGAGTTGGTCGAATTAGCGCAATTTCATACGCTCAACAAAATGCTGCTTTGAAATTGGAATTCGGGAAATAAGGAAATGATGGTGGCAGACGAAACGTCGAATAGTAAATCTGAAAATGTCATCGTATACCAGGGAAAAAGTGGCAATGTAAATGTGCTATATATCAATTTTGGTATTCCTCAACAAATAATGCTAGAAAATAAAGAACATGCATATGACGAAATTTCAGTTTTTTTCATACATCTTCGGAAATAGGTACTGGGAATTTAAAAATATTCTCGACAGCATATCTTCAGTCACATAAATGCGCAACTTTTCCCTAATTCAACCATCTTTGTATCTCCTATCTATACCAAGGGTCCGAGATCTTTTCATTTAGCCATTATTTACACTTTTGTCACACCCAAATGACTTTGGAGCCATTGTGCCAAAGTCAACTAAATTATTATTTAACTGAAATTTGAAGTTTTAAACATGAATTGCACCTGAGTTGCAGGCATCTTAATGATTCTTTTGAGGTAATCAAATATCTGTCTATCTAATTCTGCGATTTTAATTCTGAAAATGGCAGATTTAGGTGGTTGTTTATTAATTTTTCACATATACCTAACTGAATTCAAATGGAAGATGAAGGGACTTGCAGTTATTTTTCAGAGATATGGTGTTATATATTGGCTTATTTTTCAAAACTATATGCACAACAGAAGCCATCAACAGTGTATATATATGTGATATTGTCGCAACTCAGATGGTTTTGGTAGATTATTTGGCAAACGGCGTGTCCACCACATGTCGCAACTCAGATGTTGCCCTCCTATATGGATCGCAACTTGGCTACTATCGCTTGGCTTGATGAGAGGATTTTGATCATTTCACCATCCAACCATATTCATCCCCAAATGAAGAGTCAAGATATAGTTTTCGTATAAAATTAACATTTATTGATTTACTGGGAAAGTCGTGAATAAATGCTTGCCACATGGCAGAGAAGCAGAGACAAACCATAGTAAATTACCAAACGGAACACAACACAGAAAAAACAAATCAGATAGAACATGGAAAACAGTACTTACATTATGACATCTAACATGGTGTTGACCAGCAGGATCAAAGTCGGGAGGACGGTACACATTTTGGCAGCAACTCGTGAATAAGTAACTCAATTACGGAATCAAGTAAAGTGTTATCGAAATGCATTATAATAGTAATGAATTAGTAATCAGTAATCAGTAATCAGTAATGAATAATCAGTACCTAATGAATTCAGTAATGAATGGGCTTATCGATTCGGAATCTATTTATATTTGGAATCGATGCTAACATTGCAATTTTCCCCAATGGCAATGCTCGATAACGGGCGTATAGCTTAGCCCGCATCGCAAGCTAAGCGGTTTCATGCAAATTTTACCGGAACTAGAGTCTATGAACTCCGCTTTGACCTGATCGAAACGCTGTACAAGATGTTTAAATTTGAAAAAGTTAATTTATGAATAAAGATCTAGAAATGAACGAAAGTTATTTCATAGACATTTGTACTTCTTGACAATATATATAATATATCCAGAAAAAAGTACTCCTGCTTTTCACATGAGAAAAAAGTATTTTTATGAAAAGTGGCATTTTATAACCTGTCAGCAGAGATGCAATTTTTTTTTCCTGTCATAGAAAAAATAATATATATTTATATACCATCAACAACTTTTTTATTGAAATAGTTATCAGTGTCTTTCACAAGTGGGTGAACAATCATAGTATGCATTATTCTAGAATTGAAATTGAGGATATTCATAGTTTTAAATATAATCTATATATGTATATACTCCTAAAAATGCTAAAATACCATTGTTATCTCATATATAACCTCTAGAAATTTAAGAAAAACTCTAATTCCTTCCTTATTTCCCTTGGTTCTCATGATGTTCTCTGAACATTACAGGATATCCCTTTTTTCCTGGGAACCATCAGCAGACATAAAAAAGTGAAATCAAAGGTCCAGGCATTTTAAAATTGGTTTGGTCAGTGGGAAAACAGTGTTGTGTGATTATGGTATGCCTGGTGGTATGCAAATGAAAATAATATACTGGAACACACTTTTCAATTGAAGAAATATATATATTATTCACAACTTTTTGAAAAGCCTTTTATCATATTATACTCACCTCGAAACCTTCTCATTGTTTCTATGCCTTCAAAGGGTTCTAGTGCTCTTAACAGAACTGCTGCTCCAGGTTCTTGGCTGGATATGTTCAAACAGTAGTACATTCCATAGGTCATGTACACATACAAAGTACCAACTGGCATGTACATTGGTTCATTTGCTTGTGTTCTCCTATACAGAAAATATCATTCAGTTATCTATTCACATAATTAGAAAATTTGTTCAGCAGATTTTACCTGCCGTTGTAACTATGGGATGCTTTATCTTCACCACCTAAATAGCTTTCAGTTTCTAGAATTCGCCCTTTCAGTAGTTGGCCATCTTCAAGTTTTCTGACCACGATTTTTCCTAATAAATATAGTGCCAATTCTTCACAAGACATTTCAATGTCTTCTTTCAATAGTCTTCGACAATTTATTGTTGAAGACATCTCATATAATACCTTTTTCAATGATAAATTCAAATTTGAACACACATAAAAAAACATAAAATATTTAAATCATAGAACAACATGGTAGGTTATTTGTGGAGCAGGTGACGCATAAATCTACTACTCATATATGAAGCATAGCTATCCTCAAAGCGGGACCAACTTCTGTGTTCTGCCTCTATAGGTAACGAAATGGACCGATAGGCGTTGATGCCGACGTAGGGGAAAAATAATACGAAACTTGTCCGCCCTTATAGATTCAAAAAGTACCTCTCATTTTGGTCACATTTTTGTTGAAATATCGTATAGGCGATGCGCTATATATAGAAATAGTAGATGCATGGCTCTGAACGAGCCATGGATGTCAGCTGCAGATGTCAGTTTCATTAGAGTCACTAATACTAGTGACTCTAAGTGTCAGCACTGTACGGCAGTAAATAAGGAAGGATAGTATATGGATAGTAGATAATAGTGATGATAGTATCATTGAATGTGGCCGATAGTGATTCAATGATTTTTTTGTTCATGATCGAGCTCTATTTGGGAAATTCCGGTGTATAAATAAAAAACTACTACATTCATAACCTATCAGAATGAAGCCAACTACCCTCTACACTCCTACTCGGAAAAGCCGATCAAACAAGTGGTAAACCTTCTGGCAAACCCAGACCATTGAAAATTACATTCTCTGACAGTAATACTGCTCTGTTGTGTCTCAAGAATAAAAGGAAAGTTTCTGAAGATTCCAATATACGCATCAGTGCTGATCTAACAGTCACACAAAGAGACTATCTGAAGTCACTTCATAATGAGCTAGAAGATCGCAAGAAAAATGGAGAGCAGAATCTTTCGATCCGTTACAAATTTGGTGTTCCTCATATTGTGAAAAACAACCAGGACAACAGATCAAAAAACTAAAAAGTCATCTGAATGTTTACTGTCATAATGTCGGTGGCCTCCGCACTAAAATTGATAATTTAAAACATGCTGTCAACATATGTATCTATGATGTGATTATTCTAGTGGAATCTTGGCTTAATGATGACATACCCAACAGTGAAATCTGTTTAAGTGATTTCAATATATACAGGTGTGATCGGAACTTACTAACTAGCTCCAAAAGTAGAGGTGGAGGTATACTTATTGCTACCCGCAAATGTTATGTGACTAGTATGATCAATATTGAGAATCATGGTGTGGAACAACTATTTGTCAGCTTGAAACATGGGTCCAACAAATACATCATTGGAAGTGTGTATATTCCTCCTAGATCCAGCCTGGATATTTATGAAAATCATATGGAAAGTGTCTTTGAAGTATGTACCTCACATCCTGATTTTGAATTGGTTATATTTGGAGACTATAACATTCCTGATGCAACTTGGTTAAGAGGTGACAGTGGACTTGAACTAATTTGCCCAGATTCATCCCCTGGAAAATATCTTTCTGACTCTTATAGTGCCTTAGATTTAACACAGGTTAATAGTATCCCTAACAATAATTATGTATTCCTTGATCTCATTTTTTCACATATACCCACTCTTGCAATAGCCAAAGCAGATGATGTTCTAACTAATCTGAGTTACCACCATAATGCATACTGCTTCATGCTGACACTTGTTATCGAGGACACTTACCTAAAATATGATAATTTCTATCATGATTTTAAGACTTGTAATGCAATTGGTATAAACGATTATTTAGCAATGGCAGATTGGAGTGCCCTATATAATACTAGGGACATTAATACAGCAGTTCACATATTTTATGACATAATTTACAATGCAATCGACTTATATGTACCTATAAAAACATTCAAATCATCAAACTTCCCAGTGTGGTTTACACCTGAACTAAAAAATCTTATATTCAAGAAAAAGATTGCTCATAAGAAATATAAAGATAGAAACTCATTTGATTATTATCAAGAATTCTGTACACTTCGTGCACAATGTAAAACATTAAATGAACAATGTTACCTCAGTTATCTGAGTTATACAGAAAGGAATATTCAAAATGACTCTAACAGTTTTTGGAAGTATATGAATAATTTACGCAAATCTAGTTCTTACCCAAACACTATGCATCTCAATAATACTACTTGTACAAATGGCTCTGATATCATAAATCTTTTTGCTGAATATTTCTCAACTGTCTATTCTGATAAGGATAGTAATGTGCCTGCATTTCAAAACAAAAATCTAGTTGACATCAATACTCTCCATTTAAGCTTAATTGAGGTTTTTGAGGGTATTCAGAGTTTGAAGAATAAGTATTCCAGTGGCCCTGATGGTATCCCTCCAGTACTATTAAAAATATGTAATTGTACATTAGCTAATCCCATTCTATATTTATTTAACTTATCTCTGGATTCTTGTAATTTTCCAGATTTCTGGAAAAACAGTTTTGTCACCCCAATTTTTAAGTCAGGGGATCGTGAATCCATCAAAAATTACCGAGGTATTTGTATACAGTCTACTTTGCCAAAACTATTAGATAAACTCGTCACTGCCAAATTAACATGGTCCTGCAAGAATATTATAATACCTCAGCAACATGGTTTTTGTTCAGGAAGATCAACGGTAACCAACTTGCTGTCTTATCAGACATTTCTGTTACATGCCTTGGAGAGGGGTGAGCAAGTTGACGCAATTTACACAGACTTCTCCAAGGCATTTGATAGAGTGGACCACAAGATACTTTTAGAGAAACTTCACTCCCTTGGCTTTGCGGATAATATTGTGAAATGGCTGCGCAGCTTCCTCACTGGCCGCTCTCAAAGAGTTAAAATCAACAATTATATATCTAACGAAATTATGGTTACTTCGGGTGTCCCTCAGGGCTCTCACTGTGGACCTTTACTCTTCAATTTATTCATAAATGATATCTCTGATGTAATCAAAAGTGCAAACTTTTTATTATTTGCTGATGACTTGAAGTTGTTTCTCGTTGTTGATGATATCCTAGACAGTCAAACTCTTCAAAACGACCTTGATAACCTTCATTTATGGTGCGTTCAAAACAGTCTTGCTTTAAATACTGATAAATGTTTTACAATATCGTTCTCCCGCTCATTTAATGCTTCCTCATATAACTACAATATTAACAATACGATCCTTGAAAAAGTAACTGAAATTAAAGATCTTGGAATCATCTTTGATGAGCGTCTCACCTTCAAGAGTCAACTACTGAAAGTATCAGCATCTGCTAATAAAATGGTAGGTTTTCTAATGCGTAATACAAAACATTTTTCTTGTAACACAGTTAATACTTTATACTGCTCTCTTGTACGTTCCTTATTAGACTATGGTTGCATAATCTGGTCGCCACATTATAACTGTGATATCACACTAATTGAACAAGTCCAAATGAGATTTGCCAAGCACATTTCTTATAAAATGGGAACTTACAACAATTTCAATTATACAGATACTCTCAATGCCCTCAACTTAACCAACCTATCTATCAGACGCTTTCGGCTCGATAGTATCACCATGTTCAAGATTATCTCAGGTGTGATTGATTGTTGCGATCTTCTCAATATGATAAACTTCAATGTTCCATCATATTTCACTAGAAACACTGATCTTTTTACTATAAAAACTCATAGAACTAATTATGGGTTCTTCAGCCCATTATCACGTATTTTGCGTAATTTCAACATATTAAACATTGATCCATTTGTCCATTCCTTAACTGATTTTAAAAATAAAATTTGTATAGTTGATCCTGGCTCGATCCACAATTAATCTATACTTTAGTGTTAATTTCTAAGGGTTGGTTAATACAGGAATTTTGTTTTGTATCCTTCAAACCAAACCATATAGTTCAAATTTGAAATTTCAATCAATATCAATGCTATATTATTGTTCTTATGCCATCTTGTCAATCTGTAATAATTAACTATTGTAATGGTGAATCCGTTTATTAAATAAATAAATAAACAAATAAGATCGCATCATAATGACGTCATCGTGCCTGCCTTTACATCTGACATGAGACAAGGATATAAATAATCCTGTAGCATGAAGAAATTATTAAGAGAGGTAACCGAATTAACAAACTCGATCAAGTTCATTTCTAATTCTTTATTGAAAGACTTATCGACAACCATCAACTTCAGAAAGTCGTTTTAGATTTCTAATATAAAATGCCATAATATTATTTCATCAATGTGAGTCGCTATTTTTGTAGATAACTTTTGATCAAATGAGGAATGAGCAGTCCTATACAGGGTGACCGACGGGAGTCTGACGTTTCTTAAATGAACAGTACATCAGTAATTTTTCACGAAATATTTTATTTCAATGCACAAAAATTGTTTGTCATGACATGCAATTTGAAGATAAATTCCACTTGTGGAAAACTACGTCGGGTAAGTGTTGTCCATTCCTGAATGCAGTTATCCAGCCTTCGCCAAAAATCAGCCATCACACGAGTCATCAGTTCACCATCAAATGCTCAAATCAGGTGATCTCGGGGGCCACGGGATGTAGCCAAAACGGGAAATTGAACATTCTGGGAAGATGCCTCGAATCACTCGCTTTGATCACGAGCAGTGTGTGCGGTGGCAACATCCTTTTGGAAAAAAATATTTTCCAAATTCACTTGCAGCCTGCGCAGTTCGGAACACAAGAAAAGTGTTCAGCCTGCCAGCCTGCCAGCTTGGCAGTAACTTTCGGCATCCTAAAAACTATAGGTTTCCATATATCGGTCACCCTGTATAACTGAATTCAGTGAATAATATTATATATCTTACTATCAAATTGGTCTTTGTTTATGAGGTTTGTCATATCTCTAGCTTACTTGCAAGGCTTCGAAAATCCCCTAATCCATAATTATATTAAATTCTCAATAAACCCATGAGGTCTGTTCGTTTGGGGTGCTGAACTTGCTAAAATTAATTTCGTTCCCATAGTTGTCTCTATTCATGGGATAATGTAAATAGAGAAAGTCATCGAAAAAAATCAAGTTCGGCAAGTAGAGCAAATACAAATGGACAAGCCTAGGTTATTATAAGAGAAGGCTGTCCAGGATAATATATGCTGCGCTAGTGCGCTCAAAAGAGAACTGATTTTTGGGTAGATGACAGTGATTCCAGAATTTAGGTAATTATCGTTATCCAGTGGTCAAGCAGAATGAAGATGACGTCAGTACAGTACATGTTGAAATGTTATGAAGATTGAAGAGGCTACTCAAAGATGAGGCACCTGTCTAGTTCATCAATCTTGAAGTAAGTTTCGTTGTGTTTCGTGCTTAGTATTGAGAATACTGTTCTGTGCTAATAAAAAATGAGCAAGATGAAAAATGTGACAAGAGTGACAAGGGCAAACGGAAAACAAATAAGCTAGGTTATGTTTACCTTGATTTCATATTTCATGAGTAAAACATGAATTTTTCATTGAAAACAGTGAACACTGATATTAGTTAAAACTACGTTGAAATGGAAGCAGCTTTTAGCAATGTTATTAAACAAGTTTTCAATAACTGGACTGGCCTCAAACTTGCCGTTGATCATTCAATGGGAGGATCAAATAGCAAAGAGGTAAAGTGATCAGTTATCAAAGCCCCTAATAAACTTGCCTTGAATTACAGCTGGCTATCGAATGCATGAATTTGGTTCAAGATTATTGCATGCATGATCCAAATGTTGATGAATATGACATTCAAGAGTTCCTTGATGATGTTATGAATGAAAAGTTTGACACTTTATTTGAAGATGATTCTACAAAGGGTTGGTTACAATAATTCTGGAGTATGATTTAATGGTTTTACATATTGTCTGCATGGAAAGCTATATTTGTTTTCAATTGTTTCAGAAATTGCTATCATTTTGAACAAATTCCTGCAATTGCTGAAAGCAGGTGATTTGCAGACCTATGAAATTGAATACCAAAATCTTCCAACTGCTAATTTTGAATGGTTGAAGGAAACACCTGTGAATGTACAGCAAACCAAGGTTGAACTCATTTCCAACTCATATTTTTATACTTTTTAAGAAAGAAAGAAAAAAAAAAAAGTTTTCATCTAGGTTTCAGGAGAGTCCTCAAGTGATGAAGAAGAAGATGATATTCCTATGGAAGATGATGGTTGGACAGTTGTAAGAAGAAAATAATGACTACTGTAAGACATATTTAAGGATAAAAAAACAAATAAAAACCAAGTAAAAAACATTATTAATTTGAGTTTATTTCAATAAAATATCAGTTTTTTGTGACATTGATGAATATAATTCAATCCTAGAGATGACATAAATATATCAACTGAAATCTTCTGGAGTGACTGAAAGATCAACTCTCTTGCCGTATCTGCTGATGGACATTTTCAGAGTCCTGGATTCTTTGCTGTTCAAGATGCTGTAAACATCATTTGCATGCTTGATTGGTTTTCCATCTATGTGAGTGACAATGTCTCCTGGCTGTAATCCACCACTGGCAACAAAAATTAAATCAATCAATCAATCAAACTTTTATTGAATGAGTTTTCTTCTACAATAAACATTTGGAAAGAATCATAACATCATTGTAGAATACTCCACCAGTTCCTGCCAATGGAATTGGCTATATGATCAGGTGATACTAGAGTCAGTAGATTGAATAGAGTGACGACAAAAGACCTCCGAATGGCTGCCGCTAAGAATCAGAACAGTACCTCCCATGCATTAATGAATTTACGCCTTTGAAGTGCCCACTTGATTTTATAGCTTTAGATATTTGATATTTTTATTTCATCATCTATAATCTGAGACTTACGAGTTCCAAAACACAAATTTGAATAGTTGACATCCAAGGTACAGAAACAATAAGAGCATAATGTCTGATTGTTGGATGTTTTGTGTCCAAAGAGCAAAAAACAGAGACAAAGCATTGATACTGTGAAATAGAATACGTAGAATTGACATTTGACATCTCGTTTTTGGATTGACTATTGATTAAATGGCCGTTATTTGGTATGCTTGTTTACTAAATATGAAAAACTCGCCATAAAAATCGTATTTCCTGCATATTTCCTGTTGAATTTTCTATATAAAAATGTGTCATTGAAGTACATAATCATGAGAATATGAAGTGTCCAATGACAAAATAAGAAGAGCAAGTAGCTTTAAATGCATCCAACACAAGGGGAGAAAGAAGGCGAAATTTCGAACTTTCTATTGAAATATCTCGATAAATAGTGGTTTGTTCACATTTTCATTATGAAATTCGTGTTTTTCAGACGAAAATACGTAAGTACCTTCGAAAAAAAAAAACCATCGCATGATAAATGCAGTTTTACTAGTTATTTAATAAGCTGTTCGTTGATTGAAATTTCTGTCATAAGTTTTTGATGAAATTAATGAGTATTTCAAATCAGATTTAGTGATTTTGTAATTTCTGAGCACTCAGAGTTGCCGTCGGCTCGTACTGCAACTTTCATCTTCGTGGGTAATAGCCATCATTATGCGCTCGTTGAATAATATACTATTATTATTATTATTTTACGACATACTTGTGGGCGGGACTGCCGTAGATGACTTTCCACACCAACACGCCTCCTCCGATGTCCCGCGGTATTTCGTGGTTCCTCTGTTGAAGTTCGTGGACAATCTCCGGTGTCAATGTGAGCATCGTGATGCCCATGTAGAGCCGTTTCGGCCCGCCACTGTCATTCTGTCGAAGAGAGAGAGAGATAAATAAAATTAGAATCACTATAAAATTGTAGGATGATATAATTTAAATTCAAATTTGCCGCCACACGTGTATGAGTTTAGTTTGGTAACACTGAGTATTATGTCAATGAAAGGACCGTCATTATTGTCAAGTGTCATATGTCATATAGGAGACATTTGTTCGGTTCACGACGACCTCACTTGCTGCGTGATAGTCGAGTCGCAGGTTGTCACAAAATGGAGAATGAATAATGTTAGTGTGATTGATGTTAAATTTTTGAATCTACATCCATCCTGAAAAGAGGGCCACCCTACAAAATATAGGTCGCGTGCACGATGATCGACCATGGAGGTAAAATATTGGAACACAACCTCACTCTTCTGTGAATAGGTCGCGTGCAAGAACTGTCAGATGACCGACCCTGGAGGCAAAACATATTTGTTTACAAGTGATCCAAATAGTTTTCCACAATTATTTTGGCATATGAATCGTATTTTTCCGCTATTCATCAATTCGCTAATGCCATCACATTGTGCTGTTGTAAAATGCACAAAAACTGCAGCGGAAGATGAAGAAATCCGGATGGTACATTATGATTCAAAAGTAAGTACCTACTATAGTCACTCACATAGTTTTCATTTTTGAAATTTGGTTATTTCTCTGATTTCTCATCGGAATTCCTTCTGCAATAGGATCAGCTAATAGAAATATACCTGAAGTTTCTAGAATAATGCAAGAAGATTGGATTCATGCAATCAATCGGTAGGACTGGTCTGACATGCTGACGATCGTGTGTGTTGTAGACATTTTCAATCTATTAGCACCATTAGCTAGTATTGCAGAAGTGGCAGAAGGCAGAAGGAATTTCAATAAGGAATGACAACATTTCATAATGCTAACTATGTGAGATTACTATTTACCTGAAAAATCATATTCCCTAGTCTCTTGCTGCATTTTTTGTGCATTGTACAACAGCACAATGCGAAGGCATGCTTGAATTAATGAATAACGCAAGAAACACGATTCGTATGCCAAAATATTGTGAAAAACTATTTCAACCTTTTGATTCCTCTGTAACCAAATAAAAAAGTGAGGTTGTGTTTCAATAATTCACAGAAGAATGAGGTTGTGTTTCAATATTTTGCCTCCAGAGTCGGTCTTCGTGCACGCGACCTATTATTGAAACACAACCCCAATTTTTTATTTGGTTACAGAGGCATTTGGCAAACGAATCGTGTTTTTTGCGCTATTCATTAATTCAAGCATGCCTTCGCATTGTGCTGTTGTACAATGCACAAAAAATGCAGCGAGAGACGATCGAATGATTTTTCAGGTAAATAGTAATCTCACATAGTTATCATTATGATATGTTGTCATTCCTTATTAAAACTCCTTCTGCCACTTCTGCAATACAAGCTAATACTGCTAATAGATTGAAAATGTCTACAACACACAGGATCATATTTCGTCAGCATGTCAGACCAGTCATCCCGTTTGATTGCATGAATCCAATCTTCTTGCATTCTTTTAGAAATTTCACGTGTATTTCTAATAGCTCCTATTGCAGAAGGAATTCCGATGAAAAATCAAAGAAATTACCAAATTTCAAAAATGAAAACTATATGTGAGTGACTATAGTAGGTACTTACTTTTGAATCAACAGGATTCCTTCGTCTTTTGCTGCAGTTTTTGTGCATTGTACAACAGCACAATGTGATGGCATGAGCGAATTAATGAATAGCCGAAAAATACGATTCCTATGCCAAAATAATTGTGAAAAACTATTTCAATCACTGGTAAACAAATGAGAAAAGTGAGGTTCTGTTTCAATGTTGTTCCTCCAGGGTTGATCATCTGTTCTTGCACGCAACCCGTATATAAATATAACCTCTTATATAAAAGTGGTTCACGGGAGGATGTTAGCAATCATAGAGGTATTTGTAATCAATCAGAGTTACCGAAAATGTTGGATTGTTTGATCACTAAAAATCTTCACATATCTGCAATATTTTGAAACTGAAATCTTTCATAATAAACGAATAGTCTGTATACACATATATATATATATACATATCTGCCATATAATTTTCTTATACCATGCTTCATAGCAACACATCCATGTAACGTTCAATATTTTTTTGTACATAATATGGAATATTTGTGTCAACTTGTTCATCAACACAAATCTGTGTGTATCTATGTATAAGGTATACTCTCTCAATTTCGGGGTTAGGACTTACATTATATTAACTATATTATGTTTTCTACTGCTTTTGTACTACTTTTGTACTAGGTACCGTATAATTTCTTTTTTTTTGGTACATAATATGAAACATTTGTGTCAACTTGTTCACTAATGTTTATTTGTACTATGTATGGTATAATAATATCCTCTTATTTTCAGGTTTAGGTCTAATTTTGATTTCATATCAATATTTATATTCAATTAGCAATTCCTGTTATTCTTGTTCCAAAAACTTTATGTTTTGTGCGAACAATTAATGAATGAATGAATGAATGAATGAATGAATGTATATTTACTATTTTTTCTTTTCAGTGCATTTTTATCAAAAATAGTGATTCTTACGTACCTTTTTCTGGCCTTTGGCAGAAAGCAAGAACGCCTTGACGTAGTCGATGGGAATGGCGAACGAGATGCCCGCCGTCACTTTCATGCTATTCACGCCGATCGCTTCGCCATCTAGATTAACTAGAGGCCCCCCAGAGTTGCCGAACGTTATGGCAGCGTCCGTCTGGATGTACACCATGTCTTTGCCGGCCAAACCTTTATTTGTATATAAAATGTGAAATAGTAATATTCTTTTTACCAACTTTAACTGAGATTAACCAAGATTCTCAGTGCAGCTCAATACCTAGCTCAGTTGTATTACATGTTTCATTTATCTTAGTCTGTTGTGAGTTGTCTTAACTTAAGAACTTATTGAGAGTGTTTCTTCCCCCTCATCCCAACTGAGCTTGCTATTCATCTGGTGTTGTAGTGAGAAAAGGGTGAGACTGGATTAATTCTAGTAATTCTGTGGTTCTAAGACATATTATCACAACTCTAATGGGCGTGTACACCTTAGTAGAAATTTCAACTCATACCATGTTTATAATGATCCTTTTATACATAAATAATGATTGACGACATAATTCGATCGAAAAATCAACTGGAATGTTTTATTTTTGAACATAAATAATAGTGCCTTCTGAAAACGGACCCTCTTATGACGTAGAAACCTCATCTCGCCTTGAACCAATGAGCGTGACCCATGCATCTAAGGACCCATGTGTGACACTTATCAATGTTGCCATATCATCCAAACAAAATATCCGAGAGATCGAAATCGATATTGAAATATCTTTTGATATCCACTACCACTACTGCAGAAGAATATAATTCAAGTTGTCGACTGTAGGTTGAATCATTGGAATATAAACAATCTCTTGACAACGTAATGTCTCAATCTCAAACCATTTGCACCATTACAATTTCACAATAATCCAATACATTTAATAAACGCAGCAACATTGCTTTGAGTCTCGAATTCCGATTCCGAAGTTATTTATTTCGTTTAAAATGAGAAGAGAAGACACGAAATGAAATTAACCTCCAAATCTTGCTTTATATTATTGATATATTGAATATAAACATGAACGTTGAATCAAGATTTGTAATAGGCTCTTCAGATAATCTACCAAAAAAATTGATTTGAAAATGGTTAATGATTTTTATGTCCCTAACATACAGTTTCTCAGTGCTGAAGTGAGGAATAGAAAATCTGAAAGGTTTGTTATACAATATTCATTCAATTTTCATTGCTTGTACCTATTATAGTTGTATTGGAAAATTGTTCACCTGAAAGGATATTTAACATCAGAATACCCATCATATGGAGAATCCTCATTAAATCAGTCACTGATTGATATGTTTACCTATGCAACAATATGATCAATTGGCATGAAACAATGTATGGTTATTCCCTAGACTAGATACTACTTGCATCTCCCTTTGAATGTTCTTCTAAGAGATGGATCATTCATTTTTCAAGCAATTTCCCAATGAATTTCTGCAAAGCAAAACAACTACAATATTGTGTTTACCCAGTGAGGGGGCCAGATTTGTTCCCAAAATTCCCAGCTAAATGATGTTTTCATAATTGCAATTAGGCACAAAACATTTCTTAATCATACCTTTGTCGAAATATTTCAATTTAATATGCGATTTGCAAAAAGTTAATATAGGTTAGAATTGATCTTCTTCTTGTTCTTATTATCCATTTGTCCCAAAAATCAACTTGCAGATTCACCAATCTTGGTGCTTTGTCAGAAATCATGTATCATTCATCTCTGTCTGGAATAGTCTTGTTTCAGTATTAGGGTTTTGACGTCACATTATCGCCTCGTTTTCGGAGGTCCGAAAAATCGGGGATTTCAATAATTTTTTATAAAACGTAGGGAGCTCACAGCAAGAAACGGTTTTCGGTGGTGAGCTAGTTTGGGTGAGTTGTATGGAATTATGAAATAAAAATTTTTTGTGATATAAGCCCATTCTGAAGCATGCAGTCCAACAGGCCAGATAATAATTATGATGTGATCACAGACGGAAATAATGCTTATATCATTGACGGGAATTCGATTCTAGTGCAGAATAAAGCAGGTGAAATTATACATACTATATCAAGTTTGAAATTTTTTATGCAATAGATTTATTATACTGGGTGTTCCTAAAAGACATGCTGATATTTGAGGGGTTGATTCTCTGACTCATTTCAAGAAGAAAACTTTATATGAACGTATGTCCTAAAAGTCTCAACTTTTGAGATACAGCGCGATGAAGTTTTGAAAAATATTCAGTATTTTGATGATAACTAAGACAATATTGTATACATCTTCTTGAAATTCGGTACATGTCGTTTATGAATCAAGGTGCATTTGCTGATGTAAAAAATTTTCATTTTCTCTACCAGTGGCACCGTTACGGGAAAATTATTGTTTAAATTTTACTTAAAAGTGAGCAACGACGGAAAATTTTCAAATTTCATACAATGCTATGAAAGGATATTTGATTTTGTACAAAAAAGATCCTCCTGTTGATAATTGATATAGAACGCTTCGTTTTCGAGAAAAAACGGAAAAACGAGACCAGACTTCAAAATTTGATGTTTGAGTACTCCATTCAGAACATCCATTACTGGATAACCACCGTATGTAACATTTCGAAATTTGTATACCGATTCAGTCACATAGCAGACTGAATGTTTCCATCACGAACAGCTATGCAGGGTGGACAAAAAAAATTTATGCATATTTTCAACATTGACTGTATCTCAAAAGTTAGGACGTTTACGACATATGTTCCTATAAAACACGTAACTATTGATTTTATGAAGCTCCATTTCATTATATTCATATGAGAGATGTTACGTCATCGGTGCTAGAGCAATGACATATAATCCACGATTTTTTCAAATACAAACAGGGGTCATGTGACACCCCATCAAAAGTTCTACTCATTGCCTATCGAACAGTATCATTATTCGAATATGTATTCACACAGGGTAAACCGAAACTGTTTATTTATTAAAATACGATAAAATTATAATGAATGTTCAAATTGATGACATCCAGTAATGATGCAATTTTGAAGCTAGGCAGTTGAATATGCTCTAACGTTTTCAGAGGTTTTGTAAAATTTCCGTTTTGGTCTCGCTTTAGACATTCTCCGTTTTGATGCATTACTTTATTAGATATTGTTTCATCTCCAAAGCCAATATTACTTAAAGTTTCGAAAAGATCTGTTCCTGTTAGGATAAGCGATTTGAATATTTGTAAGGAAATAAATTCAAGTCATCACTGGGCCAACAATGAATAAACAATAAATGGAAGTTCTGCTTCGCCAATATGAGCGTTGAGTCGGCCAGTTGGCAACTTTTGTGTAATTCACCTTAAAAAAATGCCAATATTGACCTAATGATAGTTCAATAGGGTCATGGGATGGTATTGCCCTGAAAGTGATTGCCATGTATTGATGTTCGCTGGGTCATCCCAAGTAGCAATTTAACATTACGGCGACGTGTTTGAAGAAGTTGCGCAACCAAACATAAGTCGCGTGGCAACCTCAACCCAACGTTGTCACAATAACTCTCTTTTGCACTAATTTGGGCAAACATTTTTGGGTTTTTGAAACGTTTCAGTTCCAACTGTAGGTAGTAGTCTGTGATTTCGTAAAGGTTGCTAGATTGACTTAAAAATTACCGCACAACTGTGCCCTCTCGCGTATGACGGATTACTTTCCATGGTATTCAGAAATTAGTATATTTTTTAACCAAATAATTACTTGTGAAGATGACTCTGCCGAAACTATTTTTCACCCCAGCTTAGGTAGATCTTACAAGGTCGGCTCTCCGTCGGGAAAACGTTTAAATAACTGAAGTTGTCACTTAACCGTATTTAGATTTAAATCTTTATTTCCATTCCCAGAATACTTACTACTTTGTAGTTGGTTGGGTGAACGGTGTAACAACGTCGTACTTTAACTAAAGTCATGCTAAACATTGAGACGACGTTGTTCGGTGGTTTAGAGAGCGTCGTTTAATGAATGACTTATTTCAACACAACACAAGTACAACGTTAGTTCTGGTGTATTATGTGGTTGTCGTCGCCAAATTGCTACTTGGGGTTGCTAGTTGGACAGTTCCAAATGACAAGTATCATATTGAAAAAGAAACATTCTCAGATATATTTATGAACACAAAAAATTGATATATATATATATATATATATATATATATATTAAGAAATACATTGAGAATTCGCATTCTCCATGTGATGAAAATATCAATTCTTTCTCGGTTTATTCAACAGAAAAAAACTACTTTCCAGGCTATATGCCACGACGAACATTGAATTACATCTATTGAACACACACGATAAGAATTTGAAAACAAAATCTTCTGAAGTAGAGAATTTGCATTCTCCTTCATATAAAGATATGCATATAATATAATTCTGGATATTCAACAGAATACAACTACTTTCCTGGCTATTTGCCACGTCGAACATTGAATTATATCTGTTGAACATCCAAAAAGAGAGTATTAAAAATGAAAATCCTATGAAATTTAGAATTGACATTATCTCTTAAATCGGATATATGATGTATTATGATATAAAAATATAACTTACCGATATGTTGGGGACAGAAAAATAACAGTCTCCAAAGTTCAACATCATTAGAGTCAAATTAGGTGAACTATCGATAAATTTGTTCGTTTGACAGAATAATTTGTCGATGATTTTAAAAACTTTCGAGGACTAATTTTATACTTTACTATTCATTCATAAGCTGCGGTAAAGTAGGCTGTGAAGAAAAAATGAAAATTCGGACAGTTCATAATCACTTTAGTTGCGATATTATTGGTAAAGTTATTGTAGGCACAATTATGAACACTTTGAAATGTAACAACCCAATACAAGCACCAGAAATAATTATCTCAACATTACCAATAATATCACACTAGTGATTATGACCTGTCAGAATATCAGATTTTTTTGCACAGCCTACTTAACCGCAGCTCGTGAATAGTGAAGAATAAAATGAGCCCTCAAAAATGTATGATACCTTAGACAAGTGATTCTGTCACAACAAATCTATCGATAGTTCACCTAATTTGACTCTAATGATGTTGAACTTTGAAGACTGTTATTTTTTTGTATTAAAATTGAATTTTGAATTATAAGTTCAATAAAAATTCCTCGAAATGGAGCTGAATATTTCAAAACTTGATAATAAATCATCTGTCAAATTAGATGCGCACTCGTAAAAAGTAGGTCACTTATTTCATTTTTTCCCGCTCTTTCCAAATATCAAAACAGACCTACAAAATTTTGCCATACAAGGTGTTGTTTTTGAACTGAACAACCGATAGTTGAGACCAAACAAATATACAGTATTATTATTATTATTACTATTATCATTATTATTATTATTGTTTAAAATATGTATCAATCTTAGATTTTATCTTTGTTTTGTATTATATTGTTAATACTATCACTTAAATTGTGCTGTAGGTCATATCACCAGAAGTTATTCTGATTATTGGCCAATTTTTGTATTCAATAAAAAAAAATATATATAAGTAGAATATTTCTATCAAGTATGTATAAATTATACAAAGTGGTTCAAAAGTTATAACCAGATGAAGATTTTGCCAAAATCAAGATAACGTCCTGTATCTCAGCTATGAAAGACGGTAGATATATCGATGGGGGGTGATTTGAAACCACCGAAGTGTCCTCTATCTACAGGTATCGTATGTACATTTAAATTTGAAACACCCTGTATGAAGGAGAATGCAAATTCTCTACTTCAGAAGATTTTGTTTCCAAATTCTTATCGTGTATGTTCAAAAGATGTAATTCAATAGCCAGGAAAGTAGTTGTTTTCTGTTGAATAAACCGAGAAAGAATTAATATTTTCATCACATGGAGAATGCGAATTGTCAATGTATTTTTTATATATATATATATATATCCATTTTTTGTGTTCATAAATATATCTGAGAATGTTTCTTTCTCAATAATTTCACCCAATCAAGGAGTTCAAACTTGAACGATGGAAACTTGTTATTTTTTCTCAATTCAGAATTTCTTTCCACGTCCTGTATGATGAATGTCAATTTATCATACATCAAAAAAAAAAGACAAGTATCATCCTTAAAATAACATACCAACCCAATTCGTCGGACCCACGGTGCGTCGAGCTGACCACCCCGCTGGTCACGGTGTTGCTAAGGGCCAAAGGGCTGCCGATGGCCACCACGAACTCGCCCGGCTTCAGGTCCTTGGAGGTGCCCAGCTTCATCACCGGCAGCTTCCTGGCCGGGATTCTCACCGTGGCCAGGTCGCTCTTCATGTCTATGAGCAGAAAAAACTGTTTTTTTTTTCGATTAAATTGACATTTTACGTCCTTTTTCACGGTTTCTACTGTATTACAGCGATATTTTTCGTTTACAAAAAATTATCGGACTTGCTCTACCAATACAGAAGCTGAATTGATCCACACGTGACCATCCGACCTCGATGTTCAGCGATAATACTTTTGACAATGATGGAAGTAAGATATGGTGCGCGTATTCGGCCATTATTACGTATTGAAAATTTCAGAAAAATCACTCGACCGCCTACTATGATTTCTCTACGTCACAACGAGCGAGACGTTGATTCTACATTTTCCCGCTAGATGGTGAAGCTGCTGTGACGAGTGGAAATAAAATGGCAAATGGCATTTTAAGTACGCGGAACATATATAACAATGGGATTATTCAACTCTGAATTCGAAAAATCTGCGACAATTTCAAAACTGACAGATATCATAATTGTTCAATGTCGCCATCTATATATAAGAAGATCGACGGAACCATTGCTCTCACTGTTCTCGAGAGGTCGAGTAAAATTTCTGAAATAAAAGCGCATCAGTAATCACACCATGGCTATATTCCGAATTCAACTGACAGTACTAAATCTGCTGTTTTTTCATTCCGAAATCGAAAAAATTCACTGAAAGTGACACAAACTTGTGAGCAGAAATACTATTCATTCCAAATATTTCGACTCAACATTCTGCTGAAATTGCTGACTATCGAAAGGTAGTGTGGCTTCAGTGAATTGTCATTATTTCAGACGGGTGTGCTGGTATAGCAATCGATATTTTGAAACAACAATTTTGATATTTTAAACAATTAATTTAGAACACCACGAAACTACTACGTACAGCTCTCCTCGGTGCATATATTGTTTTAATATTAGTTATTAGGTAAGTTGTTTATGAACAGATAATTAAACATTGTATTCAGATTTAGGACACAATGTGAATGAATTCGATTCTTGACCTCCGTCTTGTTAACATCTAACTGGAACGAATAGACGAAATCAATCGACTTCAAGATGTTTTATTCCTTATCCTTCTGACTTATAATGAAGGAACCTGAGAGGATAACTGAGCTTATCACACGGGGAAGGAATTTTAAATTCATTTATATATCTAAACATTAGGCCTTGTCTTATTAATAATGAATTGATAATAATCAGAAAATGCCTGTTATTAAAATAATTGACTATGTTGGAAGCCAGAATGATGGATGCAGTGTGCGCAGCTCTCGCGAGGCGTGCGTCCGTTTATTGTCTGATTCTATATGAAATATCCATAACTGAATACAACTCGTTTAATATCCGTCGAACATACTCCCCAGCTTGTTGCATTTCTTTCGCTCATAACATTGTTCCATTCTCAAAATTATTAGGCAATAAGCTGTCGTAACAATCACTGAATAAATCCAATTGCATCTACGGAGTCTGCGTCATAAAATGGAATAGTGGTGGGGACTTCAGGTAATCCCCTGTCAGTCATATCAATGATGCCGGACTGTGCTGATTTTCTTCAACTTTAGGAAGAAACTACGTCAATGATCTTGAACGATAGGATAACCCAAAAAGAAGAAAATAGCATTTTCATGAATTCACATGGAAGTGAAAAGAGACTATTCTTAAAAACAACACAATCTAACTCGGCCAAAAGAAACACTCACTTTAGAAAATAATGTCAAAACCGTTTCTCAACAGTAAATGCCTCCACAGTACTATTTTCATTAAGAGGGCATATTCCGCAGCGCCTCCGCCAATAAACGAGGTACCGCTCCCAAGTTCCCCTATGGTTATGAATCATGCTAGAGGCTCAATTTTTTTTTCCTGGGTAGTCAAAGGTGCAATCGATGCATCTTATCGAATGGATTTTCATTTTTTTACATACACTAATTTATAAACACCTGTGAAGTAGTGCGTTTTTGACCGATTTTGTGAATTTTTTTCTTCGTTATGGAATCAAAAATGGAAAAACTGCTCGATAAGATGCACAGATCAGATGTAGTACTCTCCAAAAATAATTTTTATTTACTGAAATCTTATTTGGTTTTCGCATGGGAAATTGGGAGCGGAGGCACCGTGAAGAAGAATTTTCCCTGTGGGCGCGGCACTTGCCAAAAATAAGCTCCTCCCATAAAGTTCAAATGCCGTATTGATAGTCAATGGTACTATGATGAAGTATGATATTCATTATTTTCACGAAATAGTCTGCGATCCAATTTGTCTTTTCATGATACGAACCTATTTATATTTCGTTCAATAAACCTACAAGACTTATACCTGATGTATAATAAACATAGGTATCATGATGGAATTAACAAAGCAACTGTGTTGTATCTATAATAGTCATATAATATATTTTTTCTATTTCTTCGAACACAGGGAAGTGCTGGAATGTTCTAAACGATATCTTTACCTATAGTCCAACAAATGGAAATAGATATCAGGGACATGATAAAATTATTTAATGGATCAGGGTGAATTTTACTATTTATAGACTGATTTTTTTTATGCAAAGTTGAGCCAACAAAAAACACGGTTGCTTCGTCATACCGCCATTTCTATAGAACAGGTCAGATGAGCGAAAAAGTACTCCAAGATTTATAAGACATTTTACATTTTCCATATTATTTTGAAGAAAGTTAATGGAATATTGATCAATACTCATTCCACAGAGGAATGTCCTAGATAATGATATATAATTAAATGGAATATATGGATGAAATCCGAGATGAAATCTCTCAGACGGTTTGTTAATTAGATAATTATATATCTAAAAATACCTAATCAATGCAGCATCGTTGGTTTAGGGAGAATGAACATTTGCAGAATTGGAATTAGAATAGGTGAGGAAAGCGAAAAAGTACTCCAAGATTTATAAGACATTTTACATTTTCCATAATATTTTGAAGGAAATGAATGAAATACTGATTCACTCATTCACAGATAAATGTCCTAGATAATAATAATTATATGGAATATATCTATAGATAGAATCCGAGATGGAATCCTTTTGGTGGTAGGTAGGTATGCGTTTTTTGCTTTCCAATGCATTCGAAGGATCTAAAAAATAATGTATAGAAGTTTGAAAAACTACTGAAACACGCTTTTATGGATAGCCAAACTAAATGAGCTAGTGCCTGATATAACTATGTCTGATGCCACCATTCCCACAAAGTCCACTATAAATAACTATGCTCGGTATTTCAATCAGCAAAAGTCTTTCTAAGGATAATCATAATCAGGTCAGATCCATTGGCGCGAAATCTGCTCCACAAAAACTTGGATTTTCGTTTCTTGCGAAAAGCTGCGTTACACCTCAACAACCATTTTTGAAAATGATATATTTTTCACTGATTTGTTATATGGATAGTGAGAGGCAACTTCAGGCTAATTAATTACCCTATATTTTCGAATATTTTGCGCAACGTTTCGAACAAAAAAAAAACACGAAACGATTCGTTATTTATTAAAATGGAATAGTTATTGAGCCAACAATCTAACACTTAGCCTTATACAATATGCTTCTGATAGAAATGCATGATGTATTATAGTGAATATCGCATATATCGACGAATCGTTTCGTGTTTTTGCAACATACGTTTCTTTTGAAAAATATGTAGCAAAAAATTCCAGAAGGGGATATTTATCGAGTTTACAATTAATACTGACACTTTGCCATATGAAATCGTTATAAAATATGCTTTTGATAGAAATACCTAATGTACAGTGTACAGTCTTTGGAACGTTGAGCAAAAAATTCGAAAATGGGGTAATTAATTAGCCTAAAATAAGCCATTGAATCTCAATATATTGAATCGGTGAAAAATCAATGTTTTCAAAGCTACAGATTTTTCTGATAGATAGGTGCGTGAAAATTTTGGCATAGGGAAATAAATAAGCCCAAAATGAGCACTGCATTTTCATTATATCAGATCATCAAAAAATATTGTTTTTAAAAATAGGCTTTGCTGACAAAATTTCTCCATAATATTCAATGTTCGACGTGGCAAATAGCCAGGAAAGTAGTTGTTTTCTGTTGAATATTCAGAATGATGTGTGCATAAGTATACATCTTTTTGTCTGAAGGAGAATGCAAATTCTCAATTTCAGAAGATTTTATATTTCATTTTAAAACTCTTATCGTGTGTGTTCAATATATATTATAATTCAATGTTCGTCGTGGCATATAGCCAGGAAAGTAGTTGTTTTCTATTGAATAAACTGAAAATGAGTAGATATTCTCATCACATAGAGAATGCGAATTCTCAATGTATTGCTTTATATAAATATATATCCATTTGTGTATGTTCATAATTTATCTGAGAATATTCCTTTTCAGGCTTTGCTGAGTTCGGCCGAAGCTAGCAAAGCCACAGACTTTTCTATGATAGAGAGGAGCAGAAAATTTGGGAATGGGGTAATAAATTATCCTAAAATGAGCCTAAAATTATGAGATGTGTTTCATGTGGAACATCGAAAGTAGGTTTGTTAGCTTCTTCAGTATGTTTCCAAGTACTTAGGCATGTTCTCCAAAAGTTATACAAAAAATCCAATACCTACCTCCTCTCCCTATCCTCCATAGATAAGGATTCTCTTCCGTGCGCTCCCAGCGAAAAAAAAACATTCCATATTTGGTATATGTATCGCTTTAATTTCGAAAATATCCTGTAGATAACATAATCATCATACCTATACCTATTGGTCAATTATCAAAAATGTACAAAATATCTGATCACCAGCGCCAAAAATCGAATAGGTACTGACGAAAGTTCAAAATATTAGTAATTATGAGACCATTTGACTGTCTTCGATGAATATTCAACCGGTTGTCAGTGAGCGGCAAAAAGTAATCAAGACGGTGTCGCGCTACTTTATGTTCGGTGTCCTCGACGTGCCGCTCGATGAACATACCGAGTCCAGCTTTCTACGAATTCTTCAGGTTGATCCCGCCCCTTTCGACAGGGAAGGGATAAGACAGAAAACTGATAACATTCGAATAATTTCGAGTGGCATATGGCCTCTTAAGGAAGGAAAATATCCCTCCTTCATAAAAAAAACATTACTTGTTTAAAACCATCTAACCTTTCTCGGCCTAAATGAACCTTCTTCTTGAAAAGACAGTACTTTTTTCAGGGAGGAAGGAAAATACATCCTTCCTCCATAGTCGGCCTGAATGAAAATCCTTCCTAAAAATTATGTTTTTCGGAAAATTACTCGAGAAAACAGAAATAAAAAAAAGTCCGTCGCAGGCATCGGTGGTAACGACCCGAAGTTTACCACCGATACAACAAGGCCTGCATGCTCCGTGGGTGACGTCACTTAGTGAGGCCTAACCAGCGGCTCGAAACGACAAGCGCTTATAGCGCTATAAGGCGACCGCGTATTTCGATTTTAGTTTTAGATCATCATTGAGCCGATTTTGCTGTTTTTTTGAAGGGCTTCCGGTTAAAAAAGGATGCCAGTCGTCAACTGAGCCCTTCTTCGCACCCCATTCGATTTTATTATGGAAAAACGAAGTTTTAAAGCAAAAACCAGGATAAAACACAAATATCCACCTACAGCAACCCATTCGAATTAAATATATTGGCAAAAATTGTGGTGAAGGTAAACTTCACACCTACTTATACAGAGCCCGCAGAACATAAACTTATCGTGAGATTGATCGAAAGAAAATTGTGGAAAATGTATTTTATTTTGATTGACATGCCGTTTGTTACAATTACCTATATTTATCTTGGAGAATTCCTATTACCTGAAAAAATAGCCAGTGAGTGTTTTCAATTTTCTGTTGTTGGATTTTTCACCCAAGTGGATCGTTACACTTGAAACCGTAATTTTCAAGGGTAAAACTGCATTTATCATGCGATGTTTTTTTTTATGAAATTTTTTTTCGGTACTCACGTATTTTTGTCTGATAAACCGAATTTTATAATGAAAATGTGAACAAACCACTATTTATTGAGATATTTCAAGAAAAAGTTCGAAATTTCGCCTTCTTTCTCCCCTTGTGTTGGGGGCATATGAAGCTACTTGCTCTTATTTTATCATTGGACACTTTATATACTCATGATGTACTTCGATGGCACATTTTTATATAGAAAATTCAACAGGAAATATGATTTTTATGGCGAGTTTTTCATATTTAGTGAACAAGCATTCCAGATGACGACCATTTAATCAATAGTCAATCAAAATACGAGATGTCAAATGTCAATAGATTGCTTTCGAATGACATTACACACGCCATTATTTTGAATGATATTCTTCCTTCTTTTCACTAAATATGGATTAATCTCAAGAAAATCATATTTATAGTTGAATTACATATAAATTGTCCAATATGATGAAAAAAGAAGGGAAATTTGTTCTGAATGCCAACCAGAAGACAGGTGAAAAATAAGGTGAAATTTGGAACTTTTTAGTCAAATATCTTCAGGATAAATATCATGATAAATGCAGTTTTACCTTTTTGAGTAGAGTGTTTGTAGTTCATGTTAATATGATAGTTGCAATTTGATCATTGGAATGAATTCTGCATTCATTGCCACGAGGCAAATGACCGTTTTCAGAAAGAAATTTGAGAATGAGAATTAAAAATGCCCGTTTATTATGAACATTCAAGAAAATTTCCTCGAATTCAGAGATGATTTTGTTGACTATAATATACGAATACAAAACTAACTGCACAATCAAAGCTTTTCTATTTTTCCTCTACTTATACTTCTTATGAGAGAGTAATTGTCTTCTATTATTAATTTATCATTATAAATTAAGCTCTGTTTACTACTGAACTTAGATGGAGTAATAAAATCCTCGCGGTGAATTGCATATACCCACATTTTCGATAGCTCCTCGTCCAACGGGAAACTAAAAGCATGAACTTTTGAACCACCCACATAATTCCCCCGACAAAAGGGAACACAACACTTGAAAGGCATTGTTATTTCGCCGATCACAACACAAAATATTTCACAAAACAGTAATTTTTCCGCCAATTATTTTGATGAATAAACAACAAAAGAATTCGGGACCGATTCAAAAACATACGTGAATCACCGATGAATTAACACGAACTGACGCGTTAGTCGACAAGTGATAAAATAAAACACTGGCCTCTCTTGGTGACGTCACGAGCTGTTTACGTCAGAGTCTGCTGGCCTTGCTGTATCGGTGGTAACGACCCGGGTCGCCGACGTAGTAACTGTGGTAGTATGAAGAAAGAATTTAGTCGCTGTGCCCGCACGTGCCGCGCTGATTATACTTGTTACCTCATGTCTCTAGGCGCTAGTGTCCGGATCTTCCCCAGTTAATTTATTGAACGAAGAAGCGATAACTAGCAACGCTGCACTCCCCCCACCATTCTAAAATTGATGGCAAGTATACTCCCCAGACGCGACTAGAATAGTATTACTTGTGGTATTACATTATGAGAAATTCAGCAACTTTTGAAATTTGGCTAAAAAAAAATCTGAAAATTTGTTATCCGTTGGATCAGAGGCACACATGTGTATAGATTCAGAATCCTCGTGACATTTTACGTTGATCGAGTTGGTTTTCAATGGAAAATTCAGTAATTTTTGGAATTTGACGGAACATTCGTAAAATTTATATCAGATTTCAACGGGAGACCTTGCAGGCATTTTTTTAGCCTCAAAGCCCCCAATGACGTGATTATATCAATGACTGGAGGTTCTCAAAACTGAAATGGATGTAACTGAGGAAAAATTGAATATTATAGGATCTTGAGGGAATGGTTCTGTTAGCTTCATATGAGCCTAGCAGAACCATAGATTTTTCCATAAAAAAGGTGAGCAACAAATTTATCAAATTTATTGAATAACCAATCGATAACCAACAAATTAGCAACACATTTTGGTAGCATCAGCTCATCTTGAAAGTGAATAGATACCCAGTGGCTTCAGAAATTGAAAAAAAGCAATAAGCAACAAATGAGCTATAAATAAGGAACACATTATGTCTCAGTTGAAACTTTGAGATTCCAAAATGGTTCTGCTAAGTTTATGGGTAGGCGTATAGAATTTAAAATGGATTAAAGAATTTTCAAAAATCCATTGATTTACCTGAGATTCACCAGGCTATCCAATTATTAACATCAATTCGAAGATTTTTTCAGGAATCCCTTGAGGAATCCCAAGATTTCACCAAAAATTCCAAGGATTTAAGTGAGGCTTTGGAGAATTTTGAAATATTCACAATCAGAAATCCAAAATATTCTTGGTAACCAAAAATTCTGAGGATTTAATAGAAAACTTCCAGGGTTTGACTGGAAAGTTCTAAGGCTGTACTAGGAAATCCAAGGTTTTACCAGGAAATCCAAGGTTTCATCAAAGGTTTCACCACAAAACCCAAGGATTTACCAGGAATTCCAAGCTAACCAGAGCATTACCAGGAATTCCAAGAATTTACTAGTATAACATGAAAATGGGTGAAGACTCAAGTAATTCACCAAGAATTCCAAGGATTTATGAGATACTTCTCAAGAATATTGAAGGAATTGTCAGATTTTTACAATCAAAAACCCAAAAAATTCTTGAGAGTAACCAGGAGTTTTGAGGATTTACTACAAAATTTTAAAGTTTCACAAAATATTGGCTAAACATTCCTAGAAAAATCCAGGATTGTGAAAATCTGATGAGGCCATCTTGAGTATCACAAAAAAGTGGCACCGGACCCAGTGAACAACAAAGTTCCATCTTCAAAGATAACTGAGATGTCAAGCAAATGCATTAAAAACTGGACACACTGTACACTAGATACTAAAAATATAAAGGGTGTTCAAAAAAGACATAGTAATATTTAAGGCAAGATTTAAGGGGTTGATTTCTAAGATCATTTTATGAAAAAAAGTTTCCATGGATGTAGGTCCGGAAATGCATTGTTTCCAAAATACAGGGTGTTAACGTTTTTTTTTGTAATTAATTCATTTTATGGAACTTCTCAATTTCAACTAATTTGATAGATAGATAGCCATTGACAGATAGATACCAAATGATTGAGATTTGAATATCACCTGAAGTCAATGTTGCAAGTAGTCCTCATAAGTAGTTTTTGTAAATTTTTTGTATGATTACTGGACATGCAATAAAAGAGTATTAATTTTTTATCTAATAAACAAAGCAAGACATGAGAAAAATCCAAGAGACAAAAAAGTTTTAGTTTCAGTTGGTCTATCTCAGGGAATTATCAAAATTGAATTAGAGTCAGTGGCGTACATTTTTATCAATACACTTTATAAAATTGCCTTCCCCAGAAACACCACTGTTTATATTAATTTTCATCTAGTTAGCGCCAAATCAGCCCCTTATCACTAGAAACTACACTGCCAAATTTCCAACAAATCCTTGAGAAGATATTTGAATTAATTTAAGAAAACATTATTAATAAAAAAACAACCTGTATCTTGGAAAAAATGCATTTCAGGTCCTACATTTATGGGAACTTTTTTTTCATAAAATGTTCTGAGGAACCTCCCCCTTGAATATTGCCGCGTCTTCTTTGAACACCCTGTATAAGTGTATATTCAGCAGAATCATATATTTAATCAGTGCATGAGTCACCTACCTTCCTACCTACCTATATCTTCTACCACGCCATTATAAATGGTACCATCAATCAGACGAACCTCCACCTTGGCATGGGGCTTGTTGGTGACCACATGTGCATTGGTTAAGATGAGACCATTCTCTTCGATTATGAACCCAGAGCCATTGGATATCGTAGAAGGCTTGCCAGTAAAAAAATCAACGCGCCTGGAGTCTTTGATTTCGATGTATACCACCGCTGGGGCAGACGTTTCTACAACATCTGCTATGAAGTTGAATTTGACCCTTCTGCCAGACAAGCTGTTTCCACTGAATACCGAGGCTGCTGTGACTGCAGGCCACTGCGGGAATGGAAATTGTAGCAGCCATCGGTCTTTGGTTAGCTGGTAGGCCACATAACCTGATACAAACAGCAACAGACGTTTCAAATGCTTCAGATGATGATTTTTCGACCCATTGTTTGGTATTTCTTGAAAGACCGTTAGTTTCTTCGGTATCACATGTTTCTTGCAATTTGGATCACGTAATATTGAGACGTGAGATGGTTTCGATTTCAAAAAGTTTTTCAAGAAAGACATCAAATCACACTTAAATTTAGGGTTATGTTATTGTTAGATAAGGGCCACAAGAGAACGTCAAGACTGTCAAGAATGTCAAGTGCCATTAGTGCCAAAGTATCTCTGAATAGAAGTGCCAAAATCTTTCGAACTATTCCCAACACGAGATATGTTGAGATTCGTATTTATGATGATTATTTCTCGCAATGAAATTGTGGGAGCTAAGTTCGGTCAGGGAGTTTTAATCTGGTCCACTGAAATAGCATGGCGTCATAATGTATCACGTGATTCACTGTGACCAATAATCTGACAATGAGGTTTGGGAATGTTTCGAAAACTTCAGGCTCCCGTCTCTGAATTCCAAATTCCTGAATGCACATGTATTCCGACAGGATGCTGGCATTGCTGGCACTGCCGCTGCTGGCTGCCGCTGCTGCAATCGATGCATTATAATGATTTTCATCTACTCTCTGGATCGAAAGTTGAAGTTTGCTCCCTCATTTGAGGAAACAAAGTTGTCAATGTATTCACACGGACGGAAACAATATTAACTCCCGTGGGAGGAGAAATATATTGGCTTCAGCATGCACGTCGATATACCTATAAAATCTGTGGAATCCAAGTAATCAGTATGTCCTAAGGGCGCCGTACACTATGCTATTTACCAGCAAGTTCGATGCAATGCAATTTTGAATCGAAGAATGCATGTTTCGTAATAGAACCAGTCCTATTTTTCCTGCAATTTCAAGGCAAGTTTAGTGAAATTGTTAGTAATATTCATCGTAGCATCTTGATAAAATACAAATTTTCTCCATAACGTGGCCTGAAACACCAAATAACCTCAAAAAGTACATTGAAGGCTCAGAAAACCTGAAAATAGTGAATATGATCAAGAAAATATAACAGAAATATCTCAATGTACGGTGACTCTTGCAATAAATTGAGGAAATTGCGAGAAAATTGCATTGCCTCAAACTTGCCGAGAAATAGCATGAGGGCGCCATACATTATGCTATTAACCAGCAAGTTCGATGCAATGCAATTTTGAATCGAACAATGCTCATGCGTCTATGATATTTCACGGCAAATTTCATGCAAGTTTCGTAATAGAACCAGTCCTATTTTTCCTGCAATTTCAAGACAAGTTTAGTGAAATTTTCAGTAATATTCATCGTAGCATCTTGATAAAATACAAATTTTCACCATAACGTGGCCTGAAACACCAAATAACCTCGAAAAGTACATTGAAGGCTAAAAAAACTGAAAATAGTGAATATGAACAAAAACATATGACAGAAATATCTCAATGTACGGCGACTTGCAATAAATTGAGAAAATTGCGAAGAAATTGCATTGCCTCGAACTTGCCGAGAAACAGCATAATGTACGGCGCCCTATGTACGGCGAATTTTTAACACTATTATAAAACAAATAACACTAATATCTTATATGAATACCAATGATATCATATATTCCAAACGTACTTTTAATCAAAACTTTCAAATAAAGTTACACAATATACAAATCAATTAATTCAATGGGCGTGTTCACCTTAGTAGAACTTTTAACTCAAACCATATTTATAATGATCCTTTTATACATAAATAATGATTGACGACATAATTCGATCGAAAAATTAACTGGAATGTTTTATTTTTGGACATAAATAATAGTACCTTCTGAGAACGGTCCCTCTTATGACGTAGAAACCTCATCTCGCCATAGTTAAAAGAAAATACCAAACGCCCGCCGGAGATTGAGGCAACTGATATATTAATTCTTTCAACTGTGATCTCGCGCTAATTCACTCTGTCAGAAATCATGTATCATTCATCTCTGTCTGGAATAGTCTTGTTTCAGTATTAGGGTTTTGACGTCACATCATCGCCTCGTTTTCAGAGGTCCGAAAAATCGGGGATTTCAATAATTTTTTATAAAACGTAGGGAGCTCACAGCAAGAAACGGTTTGCGGTGGTGAGCTAGTTTGGGTGAGTTCTATCGAATTATGAAATAAAATTGTTTTGTGATATAAGCCCATTCCGTCGAAAGACCTATATAGTCAGAATAAACCTTCAGTGATGAGTAGGTTCCGATATATTTTGCCAGGCCGTAGGAGGGGTGCTAAACATATAAAGGGGTTAATTTCAGAAAAAAATGAAGATGCTAAAGTTTTTAACTAGCAGATATTGATTGTACTAGTTCAAAAAACATCTTCACAAGAGGTAACCTACCTAGAATGATGGAAATAAGTTAATGGTGTACTTACCGATGCGCTTTTGTTTCAGAAATTCTTCTCGACCTTCCGAGAACAATGTTCTCGGAGGTTTTCGGATGGTTGGCGAAATTGCACAATCATGATATCTGTTAATTTTCAGCAGATTTTTTGATTTCAGAGTGAAATAAAATCACTTTTATATATGTTCCGCGTACCTAAAATGCCATTTGCCATTTTATTTCCACTTGTTATGCACAGCAGCAATAGTAGCATTCACCATGTAGGCGGTCGAGTGATTTTTCAATACGTAAAAATGGCCGGTCGTAAAAGAGGTGCTAAAAGGGGGTGAATTACAGAAAAAAATTATTAACTTTTTCAAATAACGATTTTAATAAGGTTTTTAACTAGAAGAAGTCGATTCCTCTCTTACAGAAATGGATTGTTTGGTTGTAGGAGTGGTGCCAAAAAGGGCCGAATTTCAGAAAAGAACTAAGTAGCAGAAATCGATTGCGGATTTGGAATCATCATAGGAATACTTTTATTAGGAATTTTGAAATAATTTTATTTATTTATATCATTTATTTGTTTGACACAATATACAAATTTCAATTTATTACAATTACAATAGGCATTTCACAGCAACTGTTCACAGTAAATATCATGGTAGAAAAAAAAATACATTGTATCAAGTATTAGCATCTAGGTGTGCAGGCCCCTTGTGATCACCTAGTCGATGGTGTACATATAATATACCTAATTCATTCAAACTAACCAATTTTATACAAAATGTTGGAAGATGCCTACCTACACTAATAACTTATTGTACGAAAAATTTCAGAGTAACTTGATAAATGAGTTTAGATTTTGGTTTATAAAAAGTTTGTATTTGACAGAAAAATGTTTTAAGGTTTCTAATATTCTTCAGGCATGATATAGGCTAGGAGCATGAAATGCGGAAAACCGTTGACTTATGTCCTTGCTTACGAATGGAATAGACAGATTGATTCTGGATTTATTTCTGGTTTTATAATGATGAGTTATGTAGTCCTGGGATTTGCCTCTTTCTTGGATGAAGATACAATTTGCCAAAAAATAAAACGATCGAACATTCAGGATATTTTCCTCATAGAGTAATGCAGTTGAAAAATCTCTCTTTTTGAAATATATGATTTCCAAAGTAATTTTGTATTATATTGAGTTGGCTCGATCAATACATTATCATACAGTCCACCCCACTTTCGTATCTTATGACTGTTTATAAAAAGGACACAAATGACTTATGAACCATTATCATATTTTTCTGAGTATATTCCTTTTATTTTGTGAAATTTATAAATAAATCTTTTAATTTTTTTTTCAACATCTAGCGCATTCCATGTGAGATTATTGTCAATAGTTATTCCCAGATATTTAGCTATATTTGTTTCATTGATGGGGTCGGTGAAGTCATGAATTTTTATATGTAGATTTGAAGTCTGGTCGTGTTGTTTTATTGAGTGAAAAAGCGATGTCAGATGTTTACAAGATAGTCTAGTACTTATAACATTTCATGTTGAATTAACCAATTCGAATCATTTTTATCATATTTCAGCAAATTCTGGACGTTTGAGAGATCAAAACTGAACCATACCCAGCGAGCACAAAAACATCTCAGAGATGTTAAAAGTACGAGATTTCGAGACATTGAACCTCCACTGCGATGTTCTGTTCACACATGAATAGAACTATTATAGAACAGCCAATGTCCGCCGCAGGCGGCAATTATCGAGATGTCCTTGATATGTCACAAAACTACCTTCTCCCTAATTCTTTTTAAAGCCTTTTCATGGACACAACATAACATTTTCAACGAGTCTTGCGCACATTAAATCGCTGTAAAAGAACCATTTTCGAGGTACTTTTCTGAAGCCTTTTGTCAAAATGAACTTTTGCATCAGGATTCCATTTCCCTTGAATGAAAAAATGCATTACAAATAGATTGAACATAAAAATATTTTCTTGATATGAAATTACCTTCTTAATCGGTTTCTGAGTAGTGCTTACTACACACAGATATATAATTGGAAATAGGTTTCCCAATTTTTGAAATGTTCTCCACAATGCATAATTTTGCAACTGCGGAGAAGCTGTGTATTGATAAACTCGTACTTTTATATATTGATTACACCGAGGCACCGAACAACACATCTTGCATCTGATGGTCATTATTACAAACTGAATAAGTCTTTCTAACACAATAAACTTCACCAAATTCCTTTCTGTTCGTTAGCAGCGTGATGTAAGCGTGACACGCTGCAAACGCGAATGCCAATTGCGAACAAGAAGAACAAAATCGAAAACAAATCAGAATTCATCGTATTGTGACGTAAGCATAAGACGTTGTGGTGGGGCAAACAAAGAAAGGGCAAAAAAGAACAAAAACAATACTTTCAATATCCTTCTAAGACCTTTTTGGGAAGTGCATATTACGCCTCAAAAAAACATCCTCATGCCTACATTTCTAAAACATCCCAAAACATACCAGGGATACCTCTCAGTAGGTAAACAACGAAATGCCACAGAAGAACAAAAACAATACTTCAATATCCTTCAAAGACCTCTTTGGTCAGTGCATATTACGTCTCAAAATAACATCTTCATGCCAACATTTTCAAAATATCCCAAAACATCCCAGGGATGTTGGTGCTCGCTGGGTACTTGTACTGTGTAAGTATGCTGTAACAATTGAAAATGGAAAGTGTGCAACCGCGAACGCGATAACATTCACCCGTGCAGCACAAACTACCAGAATCATTTTTACAATGAGCATCGCATAATGATGCCCATCTTCACATAATCCAATAACATATTA